GCGTCTAGCCCTATCTGGCGCCTGTATCCAGCCGCATGGCCCGTGACATCTGTCCTGCATGACGTCCATGCCCGACACCCGTGAGTCGTGCGCCCGTGCCGCTCGTCCTTCCCGCCGCGGCCCGTCGCCGTCGATGCATGACACATGACATTAGGCGGCCGGTACCGCGTGCCACGCCGTCGGCAATCAACAAGCTGCCAGCCGACTCCCCGTCCCCTCCCGCCCTGCGCAGGGAGCCCGGTGATTTAGCCCCCCCCCCCGGACCGGCCCTAGTAACCCTCGAGGCACACAGTCACAGACCCCATAGACAGCGCAGGTTTGTCGTAGTGGTGAGGGTACCGACAGGCACCGTTCCTCCATTCATGTATGATGCAGTCATGATTACGTGCCAGCAACGTCCGTGAAGGAAATGTCTGTGTTTTAGGGTGTTCCGACACAAAGCGCGAAAGGCACCCTAGGGTGGAAATATCCGGCACTTGATCGTGGGTCTATCTAACTCTGTTGCTCCCGGCTCAGCTCCAGCAAAGCGCCTTATTGTTTTTCAGCCAAGCCGCTGACTCGTCTAACCGCAGTTCACAGGGTCAGCTGCTGACCCTGGGGGCTGGCGGCCGCGGGTAGACTGCTGCAGTCTACCCGCGGCCGCCAGCCACCCCCATACCTATCCGGGCGGCGGCGACGGTTGTCTGAAATTTATACCGCCCGACCGAGGGTTATTTGAGTGAGTGCTCACTGCTCGCAGACCAGCTGCGCCGTCACATCGAATCGTCCATTACGGGACTAAATCGGCCGAAACAATGTCCGCAGCCGGCCCATTACACACGGTCAGGCGATCAGAGTCGCCCAATGGTCCTCCGCTGACGCGTAAATCCAGCTGATGTAGCAGTCATGAAACCAACACCGTTTTAGCACACGATTCGCCACTGATTGAAATAGTCCGGTCCGCGACCAATCCGTCACCCTGCCTTGCTGCGTCCGTAATCGTATCACAGGTAGACCCTCATACCACTCACTCACTCTCACTCCCTCGCCTGGGCGACCGGGTCGTCCCTGTGGGATTTATTCGCTGCGCTTCACGGCGACCTCCTGAGGGACCCGGTGGTGGTCGGACCGATTGCGGCGGCGTACGGAGAGTGGTCCAAACGACTGCTCAGGGACCGGGGAACGGATGAATGTGGTGGATAGGTGGGCGGGACGGTTACGTGGGAAGGACAGGTGAACGGGATGGCTAGGTGGAACAGATAGAGGGGAAAGGTGTATAGTGGGTAGTACCGTAGTGGATGGGGCGTATAGGTACTGGTGATAGGTGAACGCGACGGTTACGTTGAACGGGTGGGGATGTAGCTGAGATAAGTGCAGTGGAAGGATGCTAGACAAAAAGGACATCACCTGAGATTGACGGACAGATATGCCTAAAATAGAGAGTTGAATAGGCAAAATATGCTGGAAAGGTGTGACAGATCACAGAGACGGGGGACGAAGCAGGGGCACATAAATCGGACACGGACAAAATCAGGCACAGGCACTTGAGTTATGGGACATTGACGGCAGCCGGCGCAGGCACGAAGCGCAGACTGACCACACCGCCATCGGCTGGCCGTATTTCAGCCGAAATCGCTGCCGAGCCCTCGTCAAACGACACTATTTCATCGGAAACGGCCGCCGAATTGAAGGCGAATTGCATTCCGACACCGTATCGGGATTCCAAACCGCCATCCGTCATTTGGGGTTCGACCCGCTTCACCGAGTGCTCGGTGGAGTTTCAAGTGACCGCTGTGACGGTGGGTTTAGTTGGTCTCGTGCCGTCGGCTGGCTCTTCCCTACACGGCTCCGCAGTCTTTGAACGGTCCACTCGTGGGCCTGTGGACAACATACCCATCACTATCCGTGGACAGTTCATCCGCTGTAGTCTGTGGACGATCCAGACTTCAGCCCATCAGCAGTCCACAAGCTGGCCTGTGGACGCTCCACATCACCTGGACCTGTGCCAGTCTCATCCACCCCGGTCGGCCGGACAGGCACCGGGTGCGTCACACCAACGCTGCTGGCGATGACATTTTTCAACGTCCTATGCATTTTCCGCGACACAGGCCGGGCGGATTTGCATACACGTGTCGGGGCGCTGGCCGGCCGGCCGGCGCCGGGTACGACAGATGGGTCCGGCAGGTCCGGCCCGCGGTCCCCCCTGTCCACACCGGGCCCCGTCCACCAGCCGGACCTCAGCACGGCGGCGTCCCCCGGGGAGCGGACGCCAGCGCCGCGCGCGCCGCACTTTACGGCCAAATCAGGCCCCATTCGGCCGGTGCACCAGGCGCCGACCGAGATTGGCTGGCCGGCCGGCGCATCCCGGCTCTCACAGCCGCCCGACAGCGCGGCCTGCAGCGCTCCCGGCACTGTCCGCCGCCCTGAGCCGGCCGGAGGCGGTTTTTGTCCAGGGGGACGTGCCGCTCCACTGAGCCCCAGTGGACATCATCGAACGTTCCCGGAGCAGAGGCTGCGCTGAAGCCGAGCCCGGGTGTCACTGCGGACAGTGGTGACCCCCTCTCTCCCAGTACTGGCTGACACTGGTGTCAGCGTAGACTAGTGGTGCAATGATGTGAAGTTGAGGTAGGAGAAATGTGAGGGACGATGAGACGGATGGGAGAGGATAATGAGATAGAATGGTGAGTAAAAGAGAAATATAAAGCTGGAAAAATATCCTACAGGGAAAAGACAGCGTGAAGACAAAGGAAGGCGGCGACACGGCGCTCTGGTAGACTACAGGATCCAGTGTTCACTTTCCACTGAAGACGGTCAGCTGGAGATGGGGTGAGGTAGGACACTTTACCTATCTGGTAAAGACGGATCCGGCAGGACACAGAGGGCTGATTATTTTTGTCATTTTTCAGTTGGAGGTGGGATGGGGCGAAGACGGGTCTGATGGGCCACAGAAGCGAGGATTTTTGCTTCAGCTCATTCGGACTGCAAAGGTCGTCGACGTTCATGACAGAGATGCGAGTCACATCAGGAACTGGAGTGATGGACGTGAAGGGCACAATAAAGCCCGAACGCAATGGTGACGGGAATTGAATGGGCAAGTTAGAACAGAAATGGGACAGAGGCGAAGATGGGCGGAAAAGGTCAGCCTGCGAGATTGCGCTCGTTTGTGTGACAGGCTGCCGTCCAGTCTCATACGAAGGGCCAGTGAAGCGTGGGGCCGCCAATGAGATTCCATTATCAGCCGACCCGCTGACCAGCTGAGGCGGCCGGGCCGTGCCGACTTAGCCCAGTCGTGCCCAGTCGCACCAAAATGTCTCTGTCTCTTAGTCTTAGCACACCATCTGTCCAGGGGGCTCAGCACGTGCCTAACAAGGCGGGATCGGGCGGCCGGTCGACATCCACCAGCCTCATTTTTCCGTAATCGACGGCGCCGGCCGGCGAACAGTGCAGTGATAAAAACAGTACGACGTCGGCCGGCTCTCGACGGCGCTCTATTTGTTGCTCGGCAGTCAACAGTCTGTGGCTCCACTTCCGGGAGACAGTCGCCCGCACTCCCCCCCCCCCCCGGGCCGCCAAGACGCCGCCAGTCTCTGGGGAGAATAAGGCCGATGAGTTGGCAAACAACAGCCGCTCACAGTGTGGCGAGAGATACCGGATCATAGCTAGCGCCGTCGACAAAGCGGCCGGCCGGACGGATGGGGCTGGGCGACGGGGAGGGAGAAATAACAATAGCAGCGAGTCTCAGTCCGATATAATTATACGGTCGGGACCCACACCGAGGCACGCGTCTCGTGGCATTAATGGTGCGTTTTTAACGTCGACTAGAAAAATAAGTGTTGAGAGAAATGGAATGGAAAGGGCGCGGCAAGCTACACATCTGTTGGATAACGGCACAGCCAGATCAGCATCTTTTATCAGCAGAAAAATTCGCCCGTATGAGGGCTATCCCTCATCCGCAGAGATAATTTATCGGCGATAATATTGGACCACGTCGAACGTAAGGCCAAAAAAACAGCAGGCGAGTCCGGCCTTTGGTTGGAATAGCCCCGTGCACGCTGACAAAGGTCACCGTCCGAAAGCGGCCCTGAATGACGCCCAGCGGCGTCGCTGGGGGATCTGTCTGTCCAAGTCGATCGAACTCGAGCAGCGACGGCACGTCTCCGACCATCAGCGAACATCGGAGCAGTCCATGGAGCGTGCCGGCCGGCCCGGCAGCGGCGCCCCAGACACCGGGATTGGCTGATCGGATATTCATAGAATTCACCACCGGGCCGCCATTCATGAAATTTTCTCCGCCGGCTCCGTTATAAGCAGCCGCTGTTGGTCGCTTAGACAGAGTGATCACCCGGAGCTGGGAAACAGCCCACGCCCACGTGCCCGGTCCGAGATGGGCACTGGGCAGACCATGGTGACCAGGGGCTCGTGGGGAACACCCTACAGCGGCTACATAGCACACACATCCTGATGGGATGGGTCACCTTGAGGCCCATAGACATAGTGTGGGTGGACAGACCGATTGGAAGGCGATCGAGCATCCCGCTCGGTCCCGTGCTACCCTCTCCTGGGATGGCGACACGCGGAGAAGGCGCGTCGAGCTACCCAAAATCACCCCAGAATTTACATCTACAGACCACCCATCTGGCCGCAGCGGAACTGTGCTTGATGGTGTCACGGTTTCTGAGCTCATATGACGGCTCGTCTGACTCTCCATCAATCAACTTTATCTGACAATTAAACCGAACGTAAAACGCTCGCGGTCATAACATAAGACAAGTTCATACCATGGCCGTGATTGCTCTCCGGGTTTAGCGCTGGACTAAGGTTACGACCGGAGCGCGAATCTCAACAGGAGCCCCTCGCACCGCGTTAGATGAGACAGAATATTAGATAGATTATTTGAATCTTTAGCGGAGCCGGCCGGCCTGCCAACAGGCCAGGGTTCACTGGCGGTTCCGTGGTTCTGAACTGGTTGGCTGACAGTTAAGGGAGCTATGGGTCGGGTGGCGGTTTTAAGCTGTACTCACCTTGTTGGACTTGCGGACCTGTCGGATATATCCCCAGATTGTCTCGGGCGCGATCCGACCCACCACCTCCACACGGTCCGGGATGTCGGTGGCCAGATGTGACGAGTTGCCAGACACCTGTCGGCAAGAGGGAAGGTCAGATGTCAGTAGGTCCTAGGCGTCAGTGTCCGTGTCGACAAGGGAGGTTAGACACATGAGGCCACATGACAGTAACATCTAAACCTCTGCAGAACCAGAGGGGAAACGCCCATTGGTCAGGTAGGAGGGTTCTGACCTTGAGGGCGCTAATTGATGCAAACACGATATGCTAGAATTCACAGTGACCCCGTCACCCCACACTTCTATCTCATGGCGCCGGGATCTACCATCACACGCTGTCGCCGGTCGCTAAGTGACCTGCCAACAGCCTGTGGGGCGTCCCCGTTCCGGTCATCGACATTCAGAGGCCTATGACCGCTGTCTGACCGCCTTTGATCGACTACAGTGACCCTAGCTGGTCACGGTCGCCGCCTATTACCCGCGCGTCGCCTGTTGGCTACTCCGACGAATTAGTTTTCGGCCTTCAGTGTGAACGAACAAGCAAATATTCCGAAAAAATGTAAAGATGATAAAGATATTATTTCGGTAAACAATATGAAATTACTTCGTTTAACAATGCAGACTAAGAAGCTCGACAAGATTACCTAACAGAAAAAATTGGCGTGAGAGGTTACGAACATGACAAAACCGTATGCATATCTTCAGTGTTCATCTGAGAACGTTGGCCATTTCAGGAAACAAATATAAATCGACATACAAAATAAGTGTGAACATGAAATTTCAGGGCAGTGAGTTCCCTTATTTTCCCTCTTTTTACGACAGACGGCTGCCAGTACACGCCGCGGGCAGGGCTCCGTGCGGAGTTGGCTCGTTTGACGGACCATTAGCAGGCGCTGCGGCGCCGCGGCTGGCCCGTATTACCCGAGTGACCCCACAGGCGTGTTTGCGTGGCGCGGCGCACTGCGGCGAGCAGCGGCGCAGTGTGGCGAACAGCGGCGCTGATGGGCGGCACGGCCCGTAACGAGACGGCGGTGCACCCGGCCGGCGCGGCCCCGACCGTGGAAGGGAACAGTTACTCAGTGAGCCCTCGGTGTAAAGCTACACAGAGCACATCCCTAAATGTTGACTCCTGTCTCCCGATCATGGAAAAAAACGTTCTATGGAAAGACTACTCACGATATGAACAGCAATGATAAACGACACTGACTGACAATGATGCATGATTGACTAGACTGACTATAAATGACCAAATAACATAATTATTAATATTAGTCTTTGCCAGTTGATCAGTACCATACCGCCCCCACTAGGTGTTTAGTCACAGAACGCTCATCTTGAGGTCGCCAGAGTTTCCAGTGGGCACCAACGTCGTCCCAAATGTGCTAAGTACTATACACTTATACAGGGTGAGGCAGCATAATCGACAATACTTAACGTGGATGCATGACTGCCTAGCAGCATCTGCGCCGCAACCCGAGGCGTCTAACCAAAATGTACCCATCACCGGAACATGATTTAAGAGTCCAACAAAAGAAATAAATCTCCCGCGGGTGAAACGTGACAGGCTGTTTAACACGGCGCGGTGACAAGTAGCCGCCATACATTAGAATAATTTCGGCAAATATGTCGCCAGAAAACCGCGCCATTTTCCACCAGCCCTAATGCCTGTCAGCATCCTTTGACGGGGATTTGCATATGAATCAGAATGGGTATTCATCCCGGAACCTTCCCGTGTCTCCGGGCCAGGAGCCAAAAATGGGGACGGTGGGCTCAGGACACTGACACACTCCCCATCACCCCTGCATCCGTCTCTGAGATCCGTCACAGGCAGAACCATTACACTATCCTCACATATTTGGACCCAACAATGAATGTCAACCTATAATGGGCACGCATGGCTTCACAGTCACGCGTTCCACACGCGACGTTTCCCAAACAAGAACAGGTGGCCGTGTGCGCCATCTCAGTACATCCTACCACGGTGCAGGGCAGCAGCTGCCGCCAGCTAGGTGCAGGGCCGAGCCGTGCGAACGACACACAGGCATGTATCACTGTATGTGCAAAGCCACGCCCTCATCCGGTGCACCACACCCAGCGTGCGCCACGCCCCCTCCCACCGGGCGACCGGCCGGCGGCGGTCACAGTCCCCCCAGGCCACAGGTCAAGGTCAGGGCCACACTGCGACACGCCCCTGGGAGCGGCGGACAGCGCAGGTGACCGGCGCACTGAAGACGCACCCGCCACGCGGCTGTAGATTCCCACGATCCACCGCGGCTCTGCGCCGGTGCGAGCTCAGGACACACCAGAGACGCTCGGATGCGACAGGCTGGTATCAGACACCGGCGCCCTCTCGAAAGTGACCCCCTACTGTCCATTAACCCTCGCCGGCACAGGCCATTTTGAGTCCTTCGACGGCACAAGGGGGGGGGGGGTTGGTACGACCCCCCCTCGCGTTTGGCCCCTGATTGAGCTAGAGCTTCGCGGAAAAACGAGCGTGTTGCCCGTCACGAGAGGACGCCGATGATACCCAATTTTAAGGTCCTAGGTCATCGGGTGACCTTCCAGGTCAGGTCAATGACCCGAAAACCGGGAAAATCGGGACCTGTTAGAAAGTCGTAAAGTGTGGCTGCTATGTGGTTTTCCGGGGTGCTGATTACGAATATCGTGTTAGTTTTGATCAGAGATGATGTCTTTAAGCATTTAGACCAGGTCAGGTCAGGTCAGGTCAGGTCAACCGGTAGGGGTTGTGACGGGTATTCGTAATACGTGTCAACCGCCTCGGATAGCTTCGTAACATGTTACGAAGGCACCAAAACTACTTCGTAAATGTTCAAATGGTTGCTAAATTCGAATTCAGCTCCAAAAACTAGCCTAGAAACATGTAAAACTCGAAAAAGTGAACCGAGGTCACCCGAGGTCACCAAAGGTCAATGACCTGACCTGACCTTCAGGTGACCTTGACACCCACCCTAATGCATGGGAGCAACATCAAATCACATGTTCGAACGTTTGAAACCACGAAAAGCTTGCAAACGCGCGGCTAATGCGAGCCGACATGCGCCGAACCGCGATTTCGGCCAAACATGGTCACAGAAAAGAGGTCACAGGTCAAAGGTCATTGGGGTCAGGGTCATGAAATTTTGAGGGTAGGTGTAAAATTGATCAATGCGAGGGTACTGAAAGTTTCGTCGCGATCGGCCGCTTTTTACGCGAGTTATTCGCGAAAAACCTTAGGGGGGGTTGCATCAACCCCCCCCCCCCCCTGTGCCGGCGAGGGTTAAATTTACTCAATACACATGCGTCACAGCTACTGACATTTCTGACAGCGATCCGCATCCATCGCCTTACCTCGAATGCCTGTGTGAAGAATTTGCAGATGTCGGGCATAGAGATGAAGCCGCGCCACACGGAGCGCGGTTTGGGCGGCGCCTTGGGTGGCGGCGGGGGCGACGGCTCGGCAGGCTCCGGTTCCTCAGCAGGAGCCCGCGGCGGCGTTCTGAGGGCACACAGACACAGGTCACGAGTCTTCATGGGGTTACATGCAGGGTTGCGGGATCAAAGGTCGAGTTATGACGTCACGTGGGAAGCATTGCGTCAAGGGTCCGGTGAACGCGTCAGGGGCCGGTGAAGTCTCACATAGTTTGCCTTCTGACCTTTGCTAATTAAAAAACAAACTTTAGGCTATGAATACGCTAATTGTGAAAGTCAGCTTGCGAAACAGTTGGTAACTATTCAGTCAAAACTTGTGGCGGAGAGCAGCGAGTTCGAAGAGGTGCAAAGTCCAAAATCACAGTTTCGGTAGGAGCACAAACCCCCAGGACGGAGGGCACCAAACGAGGTAAACTTATACCACGTTCAGTAGGCGAGAGCATTCGGTATCGTGCCCTAAAAAATAAAGGTGCTTCCCTAATGCCAGGCTTTGATTTGCTGGAAAATTTTGCATCTCTTTACGCACAGACCACGATCAAAGTAACATCAAAGCAAGTGGCCACACAGTCCTAACAAGGCAGATCAAACGGTTACAGCAAACAGCATAGCAAAACTCAGCTTTTGAATCAAATACACGAGTGTAGCCCAAGAGCCCTCCGCTAGCATAACTGAACAATGGCCTCCGCTGGAACTGTAAAACTTGAGGTGGAGACGCGAATGGATTTTATCACCAACCACGAATGGCGCTTATTCAGGCCCATACCAAGACATAAGAGCGGCAGACTGATCAACAATGCACCTCCTCGACTCGGTTAAAAGGTAAATGCGGACAATTCAACTCCTACCGCAATGGCTATTTACGTCAAAGGATTTCATGTTACCTCAGGATGAATTCGATTTCCACCTGAAGTACTGGGCGTACTCTAGCCTGGTAGTGACTGTGGAATGGATGAACCCTTACGACCAGTGACTTGGACGGTAGATGAGGGTGCTTAGCTCTCATCTGATAGTGTCAGTGGAGGGGGTCTCTCATTTGACAGTAGGCCAGGTGGATTCTCACCTCACAGTAGTGTCGATGGAGGACGACTTTCACCTTGCAGTGGCAATTAAAGGAGCGTTCTCAGCCTCACCTAATAGCGACGGTGGAGCGGGTGGACTCAGGGCGGAGGCGAGTTCCCAACTGGCTGTGACGATGGAATGAGGGTGACAGTCTACCTGTTGAGTTCTCACCTGATAGTGACGGTGGAAGAGGGCTCCTTGTCGCGGTCTGATCCAGCCCCGTCGTCCTCGGCCGCCGTCCGCACCGACTCCTCCTCCTTCGTCTCCCTGTCCTCCTCCTTCTCCTCGGCGGCGTCACTGGCGTGCCGCCCCCGTCGCTCCTGGTCGCGCGAGTCGTGACTCGAGTGGTGCTTCTTGTGTCGGCTCCGCTCCGAGTCCCGGCCGCTGTCCGTGTCCTCAGACGCCTTCCTGTCGCGGTCCGAGTGGTGTCGGCGCCGCTCCTTGTCACTGTCACTGCCCCGGGACTTGTCCTTGTCCCGCTCACCGCTCTTACCGCCCTCCTTGTCCTTATCGCGGTCCTTCCCTCTGCTCTTGTCCTTATCCCTGTCCTTGTCTCTATTCTTGTCTCTTTCTCTATCCTTATCCCTGTCTCTATCTCTGTCTTTGTCCCTGCCCCGATCACGACTCTTATCCTTGTCGTGGTGCCGTTTACTGCTGCTGCTGCTGCTCTCCTTGTGCTTGTCGCGGCTGCTGGAGCTGTGGTGGTGACGCGAGCTGCTGCTGCTGCTGCCGTGCCGTTTGCTGCTACTACTGCTACTGTGATGGTGACGACTCGAAGACCGCCTCTCGGAGCTGCCGCTCCGGTGGCGCCGGGACGATTTGGAGGAGGACTTCTTACTGGACGAGTGCTTACTGCTGCTGGAGGAGGTTCGCGAGTCGGACTTCTCCTGTGGATAAAAAAACACGCATGTCAGATGTGGAATGCTGGGTAGCGTTGACATAAGCTTGGAAGCACGCCGCGTACTATTTCGTTAGAAAATCATGCATGTAAATTGCCACGAAAGAGCACTCGCTAAATCATTAAATCCCCACATTAAAGCTATCACTATTGCTAACCAAAATTATGTTCCTGCCGATTATCACTAAAGACGTTCTCCAAATGCTCATTTCATCACGATTTTTTTTTTTTTTTTGCGCACCAAGTGCCTTCACCACACCGTCCACCCCTCCCTCGACTGGTCTCCCTATATCGCTCCACCACTAGTCAGTCTGTCCCCATACTCTCCCCATCCCACCCACGGCGCTCACCAGTTTCGGCCGTCCGGCGTCCAGCGGCTCCCGTCCGGTGCAGATCCTACAGCCGGGGTCGTACACGTGCAGCGCGTGGTCGTGTCGCTCCGTGGTGTCGTTTAGCGCCGCGTCCTCCACCAGCGGCTCCTGGTCGACGGGCGGCGGCAGCAGCTCCTCGGCGGACGCAGACACCGTCGGCTTGTTCTTGTCCTCTGTCGGAGGAGGAGGGGGCGGAGACGGGGAGAGTCAAAGACGGGCGAGATGCGGTGACTCGGCTGAGTGACAGAACGGGGTGGAAGTAACAGCTAACAGCAGTTTACAGAACAGTCCGATCTGCCTAATCGACGAGACATCATCCACCATTACCGGATAGCCACAGAGATAGAGGTGATGCTAAGGTTCACTCACGTTGAACATACATTTTCATTGTATGTTCACTGTTCAGCTAAGAATGATGGCAGACTTTTGCCAACACATTCTGTCCCCCTTCGTTAAAATCATCCGTTTAGATAAGATTAGTCCTATCAGTGATCGATTTTGTCGGTGTCATTCGGCACTTATGAGAGACAGAGGGATATATTATTCATAACGAGTCTCTACGCATGTTTAATGATCATGACACTAGAATGAATCTCAAAGGACGTCTATCAATGGATCTGAAACATTGAGCTAGCAGGCGGTACGACATTATTAATGATGCCCACATGATGAGTTCCCTGGTGAAGTTAATCCATGAACTTTAATCATCAGTTGACGGCACTAAAATGGAACATCGGAATTCGGAGCCAGTCATGTCAAAGAATGGCTTTAACACCCGCCGATCAGAATAAGGCGTTCAATACATCATCATATATTCACACTACAGTGAGAAACTGCGTTGCTCACCAACAACAGAAACTACATTGCTACATCTCTGTAACTCTCTCCCAATCAGGCCAACAAATATCGGTACGAATGCGGCCGGGCCCAGCGATGCGGCATAATTCGGGTGCTGAAACCGACAGCCGCCCGGGCCCGTCAGCGCCCGCTACAGCCCCCCCCCCCACACACACACACCGCCGCTGATCCCACCGCCGCAAAGTTAGCCTCGTTCGCTGCGGCGGCGACCGAGGCGGGGGCAAGACGCATCTGCCGCCTGCCGCAATCAGTCACTATAGCGCAGCAATCACACACTCCCCCAAGCACTATGGCTGCAGGGCGGCAGGCGGGAAACATACTCACCCATCAGATGAAGATCGTCATCCTCCTCAATGATCTGCTCGCCCTTGTGCGTCTTGATGAGGAACTTGTTGCCCAGGGCCAGCATGTCCAGCTCGTGCTTCTCAATGGCTTCAAGTTCCTGTTGACGAGGATATGACGTTAAGGCTGGTGTATCAACTGTACAATCTAAATAAGGATGACAGAATCCAGCAACAGCATGCTCTTTGGACTTTATTGCCCAAGTGAATACATTAACCTCAGCCGATGACACCGAACATTTTCTGTAAAATTTCTAAAGAGCATGGAGCGAATTATGAGCCTGAGCGAGCAGGTACCTAGAGAGGCTCCTGTCACCGGTCGAGCTTCGCAGTTCGCAGCTCTTAGAACATGGTAATTAGATCAGTTTACATGTGCATATTTATGGCACCAACGGTGGCCACTAGCCCGTATAGAGAAGCTGATTACTTCGTAAGCGCTTACCGACCCAAATTAAGTCCCCCGTTCAAGCACTTTGGCTGAAGTTTGGCTTAACTATAATGAACTCCGGTTTGGTCGTGGCCGGGAGTCCGTGAAGCCTGAACGAGTACGCGGCAATCGCGACAATCTGCTAGCGAGTTCGCGGCTCTATTGGACGGCAGTAAATGTATGGCCCGAATCCCACCGATAATGGCCAGCTCTAATGAGAAGTTGTAGCGGAGTGGCACCCACTGCGGGTGGATGTCAAACGATCTGACCACCGACAGGAGAGAATGATTGGTACATCGCCCAAACGTCCCGTCCTCACTGCTAGTCATCGAGCAGCTCAGTAGGGTAAAGAAGAGAGGAACGGAGGGGAGAGGAAGGCAGAAGATGGCGAGAGAGAGAGAGAGAGAGAGAGAGAGAGAGAGAGAGAGAGAGAGAGAGAGAGAGAGAGAGAGAGAGAGAGAGAGAGAGAGAGAGAGAGAGAGAGAGAGACCAACCACCAAGCACCTCTGACGCCGAACCAGACGCCTGCCACCGATACATTCTAAGAACTCTCTCCGCACAGACAGTGGCAGGTCGCAGTGAAGAGCCGGACAGTATGCTCTGCCTCTCCGCCCGGCGCCGACTAGACTCTCACCTTCTTCTCTTCCCGCTCTCTCCATTCGGCCAGTTCTTTACTGGCCAGCTCGTCAGCAGACATGGTGACCAGGCGGGCCGGGTCGATCTCACGTAACAACACCTGAGGACGTACACGGCAGCGGGGGTTAGTTAGAGGGTCAGTGCGTCTAGGGAGCGGGAGGGGGACTGGGGAACTTTCCTTACGCTTGATGTATAATCAAGGTAGAACCAACCTGCAAATTAAACAGTGCTCTTAATGAGGAACAAATGTGACGGAACTAACTACTGAGTTCAAAGGAATCAGGGGTCAGGTTGCGTTTCTGTTTAGTATTACAACGAAAAAGGCAAACTGGAGGCCGGAGGGCCAATTTTCAGTCAGATGCGACAGATTCTCAATTGCAAAGAGATCTCCCCATAAATATGACGTTCAACGTATGACTTATCAGCAATAGCCAGGCCCTCATGCGGCCAAATGTACATTTTTTTAAGAAATCGCGAGAAAACATGCAGATCGATTCAGGGATGGTGAAAACGTTGGAAAACACAAAGCAAAAAAAAAAAAAACACTGACGGATGGTTTACTAGTTACAACCGTCCCCCATCCACTTAATTATTCTGATCTTCTTGGGCGCATAAGAACTCAGTGGATCCGTTTTGATCATCAGGCTGATATTCAAGCATGCGCCAATTATACCTCACTTAACAAATCACTTCCCATTATGATGAATTTCCCTGAACCTCCTTCAGGACTCGAACAAGAAATTCTTCTGTAGCGGGCACATCAAAGAAGTCGTTATTCAGCATCAAACAGCCTTATTAAAGCCGGCACAGACGGAAAACCGTAGCCCACAGCAAAAGTTCCCAGGCAAAAAATGATTGGTAAAGCTGAACGTACGAGACTTAAATTATCTAAATTACATTATGACACTTGATTATACGGTAAATATGGCCATAATATATGAATGCATTGCACGATAGCATCCGTAATGAACAATGAAAATGCAGAGATGAGAGAAAAGGTTTTACTTTCCTGTGCAAAAAGAGACAGATATAACTATTTAATATGTTCAGCTCTAATCACAATATACGTCACAACCTCAAAACCTGCCATAGTTGTCATTCATTGTTGTCAAAGTGGCGGCAAGTTCATATATCAATATTTTAGTACCTTAGCAACAAATGGTAGAAGATCGAACTGTTAAGCTTGTGAGCTATTCTTTACTTCAGTCTCTTCTGCATGCCGTGCCGATAGCCCCTCAGTTTAGTTGACGAGGCGAATAAACTCCGCAACATATGGTAAGACAGACGGCCGGGCTCCCAACCGACCATTGAAAGGCTATGTTACTGCTCGAACGCTCCATAGCAACCCTCCAATAAACCGGTGCCATTTCATTTTTATGTGAAAATACGAACGGGATTGGGGTGATCAGCAACTTCTGTAGCCTTATAAATCGTATGATATAGCAACGGACGACCAGGCGGGACGACAGGGGACGCATTACCAGATGACGTCCAGTTCAGCCCGAGGCACGCGGTACATTACCTTTCTGAACAGTCCTCTGTTCTTCTCGTCTTTGAGATTAAACATCAGACTCCTGTACTTGGCTTTGTACTTGAAGTTAACATCTTTGTGCATCGCAAACAGCTTGTCTTCTATCTCGGTAACCAGCTTCTGGATCTCATCCTTTTCTTTGGCGACATTTTTGTCGTCTTTACATCTGTAAAATAAATGAGAGCCTTCTTCAAACACCATGCGTCATTTCATATTCCTATTTAGTAAATCCAATTACAACACAATACATCACAGCGCAGTAAGTGCTAGAATTGGCTCGCATAAATGAGCACTGAACAAGTTTTATCTTCGGAAGGCGAACTGAGTTATTGCATAATTGAGTAGAAAGGTGAAAATTCGTGTCGTCCGCCAGCCCTTGTATGACAGGACACAGAACAAATCATGTAAAATTGTACGAAGTCCGCTGGGATCTTTGAATATGGTCCACCCAGATAATTCCATAGTCACACCTTATTAACTCTGACGTGGATATCTTGGTTCAGCACTTAATAACGTCAAACTGTCTTAGCTGCTAGCAGGACGAACGAATAGACGATACCGTAGAATACAACGGACACATGAATGCCTACATTTCTATCGAGGGTCCATGAAACATTGGCAGTACCTACTTCAAACACTCTAACACTGGCAGGTGGCAGTGAGCGTGCGATACAGCCTATCCCAACCGGCGGTATATACCACCACCAGAAGGTAAGTTCACAGACTACTCTGTGCGATCACCCTGCTGTACGCACCCGCCTTCTGAGCCTACCATCCACCCACCTGCGATGCAGCACATCACACAGCGTCTTCTTCACGTTCTCCCGCAGCTTGTCAACATCCACAATACGTTTCTCCGGCTGCGGCTCGTCCTCATCACGGGTGTGTTTCCGCCGTTTCTTGGGCACCTGCTCTCCGCCACCGGAGGAGCGGCGCCGGTGTGCCGGTGAGCCGCCCCCGCCTGCCGAGTGTCGCCGCTCGCCGGACGGGTCGCTCGACACGGACTTGTGCCGCGCCGGGGACCCCGAGCTCTCTTTGTGGGCCGCAACGGAGGCGGCAGACGGCCGGATGATGTGCACCGAGGGCTTGTGTGGCGTCTGCTGCGCTGAGGCGGCACCCACCGTCTTCACGTTCGCCTTACTGTGGGCACGGGAGGGTCGGGTTAGATGCCCATCATCCGGGGATTGTGCAGGGCGTGCAGAGTTCCGACCTATAACAGACAATGATGTATACTCGTACTGAACACACACACACTGGAACACCACTCGCTTGGCGGAGAGATCCAGTCAACTGGACGGCTCCTGCCAGTATACAGCGATCATCTTTATTTCAGCATGCGAGCGTACTCGCTGATTCTTGCTACTGACGGTTCACTTACCCATAGAACTTGGTCGTCGGAAGCATGCCCGGCTTGAGAACCTCGAAGCTCGGGTGCATTTTCAGCCACGATTTCAGGTTTCCCACGGTGGGCGCCTTCAAACCTGTGAATGGTGTATAGGGGACCTCAGGGCAGCACTCATCACCATAAGACATTGCCACCAACCATCTATTATCATCAAGCTGACTGAGATAGCGCCCTTGCGGGTGCTGTGTGATTTGCAATGCTCCGTTGCGATCCGAATACACCCTGCAACTATCCCAAACGTGTATTTTATGTAGTTGTTTGTCATAAGCAGCAATGAGGAAAGGACACACTAGATGGTCAATAAGAGAGTAGTGAAGCTGATCGCGAGAAAAAGAAACACACACACAAGAACAAACAATTAGAGAGGATCGATCTTCGCCTGATTTCGGTCTGAACAGTGGCGCATATCCATAAGCTAATAGCACCGCCCGCATAGAAACCTCTTCATGAACTGACCAGTTGCCCTGCCCTGGCTTGTTCCAGCCCTACAGTCACCATCCCAACAAACCCCAGGCTACCTGTGGCGACAGGTGGAAGGTCATGCTAAGAGGGTCATCCCCGCCAAAGGTACCCCTCACGGTCCCGGTAGCGGCCGCTCACCTGTCAGCAGTTTGCCCGACTGGCGTTCGAACACAATGACGCGCGCCTCTGGCGACAGGCCGATCTTGCTGACCACGCGCGGCGTCACCCCTGACGCTGATGGCGCGGTGGCGGTAACAGCAGCGGGGGAAGACACCGTGGAAGCCGTGGAGGCTGTGGAAGCCGCCGGGGCCGGGTCGGCAGTGGTGGCGCTGGTAGTGGTGGCTGTGGCGGCAGTTTCAGCAGAGACGGTGGCGGTGGCGGTGGAGCCAGTGGCGGTGGTGGTGACAGCGGCACCAGCGGCCGTCGGACTGGTGATGGTAGTGGTGACAATGGTGCGCACTTGTGGTACGCTGTGAGGCACCGCCACTCGTTTAGAACTGCCGGCGTCCAGCTGACTCTGGAAGTCCTGTAGATGGATACAGATACATCAAGGTTATATATCCATTAATTTTATCCATAACATAAAAAGCAACAACATAACAGGAAGGTATATCAGCGCGGCAAGCAAGGCCAGTTGTATCTATACTTCAGTTCAATGTTCGGTGTTTTCATTTCAGGATACCTAAACTGTATATCAGACACGACTATACAGTGAATGATGACCAAACTAGCACAAAAACACATGTGACGGACTGAACCGACACTCCCCAAAACCAGCTAATACACATACCTTGATCACCTTGATGGGCCGGACGGGCCGCACGGGACTCTGTTGCACGGACTGGGAGAGGCTCCTCTGGACGGGCGGCGGGCTGGCCAGCGGCGCCGGCGGCCGGGGGGCGACCGGCGCCGGCGGCGGCCGCTGCTGCTGCGCCTTCAGCTTGGAGAGCGAGTCGCGGGCGTGCTGCTGGATGCACTGGTCGCTGCAGTAGACGGACGACGGCCGCGGCGGCCGGCGACAGCTCGCTACGATACACTTGGCCGGCGGCGGCTGGGGACGCACCGCTGGAGGCTGGTGACGCGCCGCGGGGGGCTGGGGACGCACCGTTTTCCGCGGCGAGTGTGCCGCCTGTGCCTTGGCGCGAGCCGCCTGCCGGGCGAGCGTCGCTGCCTCGCGCTCGGCAGCCTCGCGCTGCTTCTGTTTCCGTTTGCAGAGCGGACAGACCCAGTCGCGTCCCTCCTCCTCCATCTGGGCGCCTGGAGGCCAGAGGCGCCGAGAGGCGGGTAACAGTTAAAATGCGGTCAGTACCACACGGCAGTTAGCCATGGAACGGTGCCCCAGAGGGCGCTGGCAGTTGCAACAATCTATACGCTGTGGAATCGCCCCGTGCCTTTACATTCGGGATGCTTCTTATGAGACTAGCTCCAACCTTTTTAATGTGATCGCTCATCCATTCAATATAGCCGAGAGCCACGAATATAATCAATAATCATACTGCGAGAAGATTAAACGTTTTAATCATAAATCGAACCGCTGCAATGACCTATGACTTAAGATGCGCGGATAGTTATCACGGCTGTCGTTGGGACTGGCGGCACCACCGTCTCCCCAGAGAAGGTAACACTCACCCATGGCCCGCGTGACACCGACGCAGTTGCCGTGGAACCAGTCTTCACATTTGTCGCAGCAGATCATAAACCTGACCACAACAAAACTGGGTTAGGCAAGGACGACCAGGCAAACATAATCGATGAGTTCAAGACCAATGGGACATGACTGGCTGCCCTGTCTGAAAAAGTACGGGACGGATGCGACGAAACTGGGATTTATTTGACATGGGATTTATTTACACAGCAATACATACTAGATACCTACAGGCTACAACCATAAAAATAAGAAACAACATACAGCATTAATTAATTGTGCTTTACTGGCGAATCAACGCGGTTCTTTGCACCATAGGCCGGTTCACGGCGGTGGACCCGTCAGCACCCACCTGTTATTGTGCGGCTGTCGGCAGATACACCAGAGCTTGTCGGGGTCATCCTCCGACTGCCAGCCGTCGCTGTCCTCCTCCTCCTCCCCTCCCAGGTCGTCCTCGTCTTCCTCTTCCTCTCCGTCATCAGGAACCGTGTCCACCACCACATCGTCCTCGTCCAGGCCCTGACGGAGAGACAGACGGCTCATACACACATCGTCCTCGTCCAGGCCCTGACGGAGAGACAGACGGCTCATACACACATCGTCCTCGTCCAGGCCCTGACGGAGAGACAGACGGCTCATACAGCAGCTCGGAACAGAACACCGAATACGTCGAGCCCCAACTCGTATTCCTGTCTGAGTGTTCATGTGTGCAAAGTATTTGAAACAAAGCGTTCCCCACACCAGTTCACACAACTCGGCAAAGGGCATGGAACACGCCGAATGGCGACCAGTATCATTGTCTCAATCTCACTGCGTCTGTGTCTGAGTTTGTGTGTAAATAGGAGCAGCATTTGAATGCACACCATTCCCAATTTGAACAGATTTTGGATACACATTATCCCAACGTAACTTTTGAATACCCAATACTCTCAACGTGAGCGACATTTGAATACACACCATTCCCACAAGCAGCTTATGCTCGTCATGCAGGGACCGTAGGGTGCGTGTGGAGTCAAGACACTCACCTTGACCATGAGTTTGACGCCTCCCTTGCGCTTCCCCGGAGAGGCGGCGGCAGAGGACGAGGCCACGGGTGACACCATCAGCGGGTCCTGCAGCTTCAGCGGCACCCGGCGGTCGCGGCGCGGCCGGCCAGCGCCAGAGTCGGACGCAGAGCCTGAGGGCGGTAGAATATGTCAATGATAGGCGATTGCAGAGGGAGAGAGGGCACTGTACGGGGGTCCATCAGTGAACTGAGACGGATAGAGGTCACTAACAAAGCTTCACGAGTGTACTGGGACTGATACAAGTTACTGCCAGAAATCAGTTGATTATTGACAAGTCATTGTCAGGGGGACATTGGCCCAACGTAAGGAAAAAGGAGAAATGAAAAGTTGCTGATCATTCACAGTCCCCTGAGCAGCTGGTAAGCCGTGTGTACCTGTCTGCGGAGACTGGTCGGTGGTCCGGTGTGCCGCCAGCGAGGCCAGGGTCTCCTCATCACTGTCATCTCCCTCGGTGGTCGGGTCCGGCACGAAGCTGCGCATCGAGTGGCCGCCGCCGCGCCGCGCCTGCGCCACCTCGACCGCCGGAGGAGCGGAGGGAGAGGCCACGCGGGGGCTGGTGGCCGCACTGCCGCGGCCCCTGCCCCGGCCACGACCGCGGCCGCGGCCTCTGCCCCGACCTGTGAACAGAGGCCAGACATGTATCACAGAGACTAGTCACAGGGAAGGTAAAGTGAGATGGTAACGACGCAGAGTCAGAGTCAGCAAGACATTCAGAGTCATGACACACCGGGCTAGCAACCATCAGTGGATGCGCTGGCGCCACTGGCACAAACGATATCCTCACTGCCGATAGCAGCCCAGCTCAGCTAGAACAGTTGAGAAAACAGTCTTAACCAGCGCATGTAACTCACAAGCCGCAATGAGCCACACACCATCACTCAATCGCCCCCACATTGACCACGGCATACGACCGGTGTGAAACTCACTAACCTCTGGTGGCCGGCGGCGGCTGGCCGGCCTTCTCACTACTGCTATCCTCCGACTGTTCGGCAGAGCTCTGTGCGGCCTGCTGCCGCTCACGGTTCAGATTCTCGGAGCGGATTAGCTCAGCCTGTTCGCGTAGCGTCTGGTCGGCGTGCCGCTGAGAGCGGCGAGTGCCCTGGGGATAGGTGGGCGAGTCAGTCGAATCCCGGCAAGCATACCCGAACACAAACGCACATGCTGGATTCGATTACCATGTCCTGATAATTATAATTAATGAAGCAAAAAATGTCATGTAGTGTCCATATTATCGTCGTTATATCGTCATGCTAATTTCTCACAGATAAGTTGTCACAAATAATAACTACTATTTTCCCAATAGCCAACAATTCGACTAAATGTGTTTCGACGGCATGTTCAGCCAAACTTCAAATAGTCTCGGACCGGACCCGCTCGTCATCACCATCCCGCTGTTCGTGTGCAGTACCTATTATGTCACGTGTACTCACCAGGGCTCGTTTTCTGACGCGTCCCGCTCCTCTGCCCCGGCCCCGTCCGGGCCGCGCCCGGTCTCCGCCTGTGGGTCAGACAGCACACCGTCAGTCAGGGGGCATTACAAAGGCGGCACAGCATGTGTATTGCGTATTATGGCGACAAAATATATCGCCAATCGCAACCATTCAGAGCTAAAGATGTAAGAGGAAAATAATGGAATAGTAGCTCAGAGTGCACAACGACCGATACAACTGGCCCACTAGCCCTGTTGACGGATACGACTGTACCAAGAAACTGATGATTGAGGCACAAATCAGCAATGGACGGATACATATCAGCTACAGCTATGGCTACGGGACTTATCCATACAATATAATTCATTTGTGGCGTCAATCAGCGATAGTTCACTGTCCTATCGCCGGCGACTCGTGTGGACCCCGAACAGCGCACTAAATTCATCGACGACGCATGACGTCAGTCCCTGCCGTTCGAACCATGCACCACTGAATGGAACTTACACTACCCTATTACTTCCTGTGGTGTTTTGACCGCACTGCCAGTCTGTGTCAGCCTAATGTGATAGCCATCGACTGGCATTATCGTAAGCCGAACAACAGACCTGCAATCGACTGCGGGGACCCTGTGAGACGGGTCTTTCACTCCAGAAGTCATACAGCGCTCACTCAGAGTGATTGGTGGTCGCGCATTAAAACGGTCAACAATTGTATGTGATAGCATTTTCGGTGCTGCTGAACTAGAAACCAATGGCCCACTGCGAACGGGCCATACCCGGAGTGATTTGCTAATTGGACCGTTGTGACGCAAGACGACACAGGGCAGTGTGCCGCCACATGGAGTTTTCATTGTTAGTTTTCGATACGGTACAGCAGTACCGAAGTGGCAGAACAGCATAACAATGTGCGCACTTGTGCAATATTTATTGTATATGGTGTAGAGCAGCATGACACAGACCGGTACAGTGGCCGTTTGAAACCCCGTACCACCGTTCCCTCTTTTCCATCCTCGGGAGAAACAAATTGTTTTCCTTCACACCTGAAGTAGGTACCTGCTCCGGGCTGGATGGGCAACTTTATCCCATGCGGGAATCCTCAATTAGAGCGCTGCCCGTAGCCGGGTGCGGTGAGTGCTTGGGGAAGGGGGGGGGGGCTGGTCGGCCTGTCCTCTGGACGAGCTCAGCCCCAGCGACTCACCAGGGTACTCGCCCAGACCAATGTCTCCCCCTGATCCCTATCATTCTTCCGGCCCTGAAATGGGCTCTTCAGACCGAAAGGGCCTAAGCCAACAAAACAAACAAACAAACAAACAAACAAACAACACAAACAAACAAACAAAAAACAAACAAATAAACAAACAAAAAAAAACAAACCCGCTGTAACACCCACTAAGACCTGTAACAAGTGTGACCTTGGAAAACATACCCAATGAAACTATAACCTGTGACATCCACTGTAACCTCGGAATACCTTTCCACTACGACCATGTTCTATCCGTGACTATAACCAAGCACCACTCACTCTGATCGGGCGCGTGTCCGTCGTCATCCTCCGCCGTCTCGTCCTCCAGCTCCGTGCCCTCGATGTTGACGCCCATGGTGCCGAACGGCTGCAGACCATCACCGAATATCTCACGGGCCTCGTCAGAGCTGAGAGCAGACTCTAAACGGTCCAGTGCGTCCGAGTCGAGAACTGAAAGACGAGGGTGATACGGGCAGGGTGAGACGCGGTGGGACACAGGGTTAGACGGACGGGTTCGGTGAGTCACGGGCAAGATAAGGTAGACAGAGCCAGGGGTCACACAAAGGACAGACGATGGGCCAGATGAGGACGGAGTTGCGACGGCAGGGGTCAGACAAGTGGGGACATACCTGCGGGCCTGATGTCAGATATTTATTCACGCTTCATTCATTCACTATTCATTCGGTTTATCCATTCACTGTTGATTCTGAACAGTCGGCGAGGCGAATGGCAGTCTCGTATGCCTAGCATATACAGTATAGTCGTCTTTGTTCCTATGGTCTTACTTAAAGGGACCCTCCCACCTTCAAAAAAGTTAATGAATTGGCACGAAAGTGATGTCGCTCGGTTCAGAAAGAGCGAAAACGAATATCTACCAAATTTCATCGAAAAATATTCACCGGTTTTAAAGATATTATACTTTTACTTTTGTTTACTTTTTGAGATCTCCGCTGTTCCTAGCGACTTTAAGTGCGGCATTTGTTGCGCGCAAAGCAGCATATACCACCGCGTGCTACCAAACGTTTTAGTAAAAGATTTAAAAATCGTTAGATCTCCGCTGACGTCACAAATTCTAAGGGGGCATACCAATGCACTAGCCCCTTAGAATCCGAAAACTGCAAGTTTGAAATTCCATATCTCCGAATTAAAGCATTTGTCGATGTTGTGAGTGCCCAAACCGGTATTTGCAGGCCATGGCCACCAATTTGGCTATCTCAACTCAAAACTAATGTTAAGGTGGGAGTGTCCCTTTAACTGGTTTTCTCACATTTTCCGTACAGATCTGGAGACGACACGAATGTAATGATAGGAATGCCCCTCTTCTGTTTATTTCTTTTGTATGTGTTAACCCGCGCCCCGTAAGGCTATCGGCGGACCCTACCACCCGTAGGGGGGGAAGGGGCGTTTCGGCCCCACCCGAAGATCTCGGAAATTTACCGGCCGATTTTCAAAATTCAAACGGCGTTCGATAGCCCCACCGGGGAACTACCTTGTGACCAAATTTCATCGACCCAAGTCAAACCGATGACGTCACAGGTCAGGTCAAAGATCGGATTTTCATCGTTCACAGGCATTTCAAGAAATGTGTTGTGAAATCGAGTAAATTTGTAATTTATTGAAAACCATCGATGGTACATTGTTCGTCAAACACATACTTTGCTATCTGAGGTGACTAATACCAGGTCAGGTCACAGCGAGGTCAGGTCACCGGGGGTCACAATATGAAAGTGTCGTGATAAATGTTTTATGGTCCATTTTACATGACAAATGCGATTATGTGGGTTAGGCAGCCTTTGGGGCCAGCTTAGGTCACGTTTTGGTGAAGGTCAGGTCAAGGTCAGGTCAAATTAGGTCAAATTTCAAAGTTGATATTTTGCCTAAAATGGATATCGATTCGATGCAGCTCGTCACGGGGAGTCTAATGGTGGCCTTTGTTTTGCTCTACGAGGTCTAGAAGTGCCAAAAATTGAGTTTGAAAATTTGACGTCATCATTTTTGAACAGTTTTTTTCGCTATAACTAACTTGGCCAAAAAACGAGGTATCGATCTGAAATTTGGTATGTAGATAGAAGACGATAGGTACTATCACATATATTCTGTTTTTTTTCAAAACTCAAAAATCTTGTTGGATTTTTTGGCTAATGTATCTAAAAAATGCTTTTTGATTTTTGGGGGTCAAAACTCATAAATTTCAAAAATCCGAGATAGCAGTTTTGTAGCCCTGTCAATTCTACACCTTCTATGTTTGGATCATTTTTCTGTATCTTCAAAGCTGTAGGCCTGACAGGTCTTCTCGCGAAGGTCTTTTTTCGGTCGAAAATGACAGAACATGACGTCATTCTGACGTCATTCGTGGCCAACCTATCAGAGCCTCTGAAAAAAATGTTTAGTCATAATGTGTAAGATTGATGCCCGGAGGGGTCCTGAAAGTTTGGTGGCGATATCTCCAGCCGTTTAGGAGATATCGACGGAAAAGGACAGGGGGGCCGTTTCGGCCCTCCCCCCTACGGGGCGCGGGTTAAGTGTTGGCCGTTATTTCAAATACAAAATACCTATTTGGTTTAACTTCATCCAGGGCAATATCAAATCGGATAATAATTACGCAGCTGATGAGCATTGAATAAATTGCAAAACGAGGAGAATACGATACAACAAAATATTTATTCAGAGCTGTCTGTGCATCCACAAACGCCTATAAGTGCTCATCCCCTTCCATTCCAACCCCATGCCCCGCCCAAACACACTTTTCGTGACAAAGCTAGCAAGTTGCACGAGACGTTAGCTCAAAAACCGGCTCGCCACAACACACGCTCTATCTCCACGGCCAGTGCAAGCGCATGCCGCACATGCGACTGGCGAGGAAGACTGTCCCGCACGACTCCGGTGCTCAGCGGAACAGTCTAACCACGCAGTGGGTAAGCCGAGACCGGGCGTTAGCTGGGGCTCCCGCGAGACCGGGAGGGCGGGGGCGTCATTGGCAAGATTACTTCACTAATAGTCATTGGCAGGTGCCTTGAAAAAAGAGGGAGAGGAGAGGACACCCATCCGTCGTTTCCATCCTCGTGATGCTCAAACCCTTCTCTTCTACTCCGCAACCCTCTCTCCGGGCTGGGCAGGCAACTTTATCTCATGCGGGCTGCTCCCTTGGAGCGGCACCGCTGCTCCCAAGGAAGCACACTAGAGATGCCACTTTTGAACCCGCGAACCCGCTTTCTGCGGGTTTTCAAAACCCGCAGGGTTTTTGGCGGGTTCGAGAAGCAAAACTTGTCGTGTGGCGGGTATTTGGCGGTCAGACTTAAGAACCTATATTTTTTTTTAGATGCAAAACACAATGCCAAGTGCATTTGCTCAGGTTAGCAATACAATATTCATCAAAACAACTTTTGAAACAGAACCAAATATAGAAATATATCAAGGAAGCACATTTCAAATGCAAAACTGAAAACAACCAGCAATAGCATCCACAGTCTAGCAATGACCAAACCAAGGTATAAGCAACAAACTACAAAGCATAAATAATTGCTGATGAAAGCATTCCATAAAACATAAAAGAACCTTAAAGCAAACTTATAGGAAGCTGAACTGAAGTCTATGTGCAGTGTGCACTAGATATACATTATGGAAGAACCCAGAATCAGAGCAAATGCCACATGCTACTTTATTTGCGTCTGGTCGGCATAAAAAGAGCTATCAACTAAACAAAATTTGATGCAAATTCATTGATTACCTATCCTATGTTCTGTTCCACCCTATATTACGAAAATAACACACCAATTACCCTTACAAAAAATCAAAATATTGACTGGGCGGCCCAAATATAACGCAATACAATACTGGCGCACTTCCGACATTCTGACAAGGATTGGCATTTGACTGCGTCAATTTTGGTCTCTGAGGCAAAGGAAAGCTGTCATTGATGACGCAATAATTTTACAATCAATTTTTCTGTCTTGGTTTTTGAATACCTCAAAATAGCAGTTATACATGTTACATACAAAACCACGTAGCTGGTCGCATTTATTTCTTTTGTCTTTTTACGTGCTTATCATTTGTATGACGAGAGAGCCGGAGAGCATTACCAAGACCATGTATGAAATTATTACATTTAATTTAGTATTTACTGTCTCTTTATTTCTTAACCGGTTATTAACCTTTAAATGATAAAACGCTAGCTGTTGTGTAAAATAACTTTATCAGAATGGCACATGAATATGCATTATACATCGGTGTTTTCGCAACAAGTTCGCACTAACTACGGCCGCAATAATTTAGTCGCTGTAACATTATTTGCAATCAGCTGTTGGTGACGCTTCTGACGCATGTTTCCAGAAACGCGTGGTTCATTGGTGGTTAGTTGGTTTTTGCTGGGATTTTGCATGATTTGTTTTATGTGTAGATCGACTGGATACTTATTATTCACCGTGTCACTATTTGTTTTTAACTGGAAATCGCATATCTTTTATATCAACATTCATTTTGATAACAATATCATTCCAGAAGCCTAACATTGAGAGGGAGCCAGAGTAAAATGTTGATCCTCAGCCAATGCTGAAGGGTAAGGTGAGAGAAAGATTTTACTGAACTCTTTTCAGAAAGGAATTTCAAATGTATTGATGCATTATTCGTTTTCCACTATCCAGTGTGCACTTCCTGAGGACTTAGCATAGCAATTTCAAGTCCTTACTATTTGTTTGGCTGTCTTTTTCTGCACAGCAATGAAGCAAGTAAGGTTTATATAGCTCTAGCATTGACCCAGCTGTATTTTTTCTTGCAAAAGCAGGTTTTCAAAATTGCGGGTTTTTTGCGGGTTCGGCTCAGCCAAAATCAGCTTGCGGGTAGTTGTGGTTGGGCAAGGGGTAGCTGCGGGGCGGGGCGGGTAATGAAATTGCAAATTTGTGGCATCTCTAAAGCACACCCGTAGCCGGGTGCAGTGAGTACTTGGAGGCTGATCGGGTCGGCCTGTCCTTCGGGACGGGCTCAGCCCCGGTGACTCACTAGGGTGCCTACCCAGACCAATGTCTCCCCCCTAATTCCTATCATTCTTCCGGCCCTGAAATGGGCTCGTCAGACCGAAAGGGCCTAATCAAACAAAACAAAACAAAACAAAACAAAACAAACAAGGGAGAGGGAGGGAGAGAGGGAAAGAGAGTGAGTGAGAGAGAGAGAGAGAGAGAGAGAGAGAGAGAGGGAGAGAGAGAGAGAGAGAGAGAGTGAGAACGAGAATCTCTCTCTCTCTCTCTACTCTCTCTCTCTCTCTCCCTCTCCCTCTCCCTCTCCCTCTCTCTCTCTCTCTCTCTCTCTCTCTCTCTCTCTCTCTCTCTCTCTCTCTCTCTCTCTCTCTCTCACACCCGGGAACATAGGTACATACACCGGAGGTGTCTGTTCTCTTGATATGGAACAGACACCCCCGGCGGTTCCTAACATCCTTCCGCCTCTGAAATTGTCTTGCTGAACCGAAAGTCCAAAAGAGCCTGGCCCAACAACAAAAATCTACAAGATTAGGTGTAAGTATTTGCAGGTTAGAGTAGTTCCAGCGACAAAGCTACATTGACAACTTTCTTTTTGGCATTGTATAACACTTTGATTTAACACACTTCTATCGCCATTCTGAGTTTCAAAAGTAATTTTTCTTGCTGCGTATGAAAATGGTGATTCAAAGTTCTACATACGTAGACACAAGCAATTCTGGGCATAATATTAACCCGCGCCCTGCTGGGGGGTTGAACATCCACCCTTTGGTTTTTCGCGAATATCTCAAAAACGGCGGCGCTCCGCGCCGCCGTTTTTTCTACACGTGTTGTGAAAATTTCAGACCAAGGTCATTCAAGGTCAGGTCACCAGGTCACTTGAAGTGACCTCACCTCATAAAAAGTTTCAATGTCTGTCATAGCTACACCGAGTGACCGATCGCTTTGAAACTTTCAGCGATTGCTAACAGCAATAGCATGCACAAAATGTATATCTCAGATTTTTGATATCGATGACCTAAGATCAGGTCAATTTTGCGACCTCCCCATTATAAGTCAATGGGAGAAAATTGAAATGCGCTTCTTTTGGACGAAAGACATTATAAACACTCCCAAACACTGAATTACAAGTGGTTTAGACACACTGAACATGGAAATGGTGTCCGTGACCCCTGTTTATGCCCTGAGGTCATCTTAGGTCACGAATGGTATCTAACAGTTTTTCGCAAATAACTTTTGATAGAGGCATGCTAGAGCGATGAAAACGCCTTAGATGTGTTCAGCTCGACGATACGGATCGACTGATATGCAACATGACCCTTTCCGGTCAGGTCATGACCTTGACCTGAGGTCAAATTTTCAAGTTGACCTTTCAAGGTCAAGTTATAGTTTATTCGATACTCTTGACGAGAGGAACACGATGCCGGTAAAAGTAAGCTCGTACAAGGCTTGGGTCAAAAGTTGTTGCAGAAAAACTGTTTACGAAAAAATCGGCTATTTTTGCAGTTTTTGCCCCCTGCAGGCAAAACCGTTGACGTTAGGTCAAATCTGAGAGAATTACTCAGTCGAATGCGCTTTTGCTCTATTGGTTCCCGAGTTATGCGTTGGCTTCTTGGAAATTGTCGACATTCGACCTGGAAATCGGCGAAATTTTGCCTTCAATGACCTCTGGTGACCTGACCTTTGACCTGACCAAAAAATTGACCGAAGTGATTTCCTCATTATTTTTGACGCTCTTTCGAACGCCGCCTTCCGCGTATCGCTACGTGGCCCAGGAGCCTAGTTAGAAGGGGAGGGTGTTCAAACACCCCCCCCCCCCCCAGCAGGGCGTGGAAATCCAGGACCCCCAGCCGGGCGCGGGTTAAAGAAAAATATTATCTCTAAAAGTATTATCACTATTTTAAGTATTATCTCATTACAAATAATATATTAGTCATTTTGAAGCCTGAAACGTCCTATTTATAAACAGCATTGCGTCTTTCGCGAAACACATACCTACCTATTCCCTGTTTTCTTTTGCAATTTGCAATAATAGCATTGAGCAGATCTTCAAAAAGGTCACGTAATGCAATCAGAATAGCTAGTGAATTTTATGCACATTCATAGTGCAAACATTCACGAGACGATACAGTGAACCTTTTCCTTCATTGATCACGTAGCACGGCCACAACGTAGCTCCACCATTGAATTAAAACAGCAACCAAACATAGGTTCTGCCGCAAGAATAGGTTCTGCCGCAGGAAGACGTGCTTGATTATGCATCCCAACAACTGGCCTCCATAGCTATCTTGCTACTGAATGGCACGCACAATATAGCCGGTCTGAGGAGCACAGTGGTTGATACAAATTAATAAACATAATATCTCGAGTATTATTTTGCTGAGGGTGTGCGTACGTACACGTACCGATGCGATCCACAATGCTTACTAAAATATTACCAACGAATGATTGTGAAGAATTGAACTTTGTTCGACATTTGCTATAGGCCTAGAACCTAAGTAGGTACTATTACGACTATCCTTTCAGAAAAATAATACATGAACTCTAGACAAGCTAAAACGTTTATCTGAAGCGAGAGGAAACAACTGCAACGACAATCTAGGTATATTAATCTAGGTAAAGTAAAGTAATACTGTTTCAAACATCAGATAATATATGTTTATATATTACCAACGCTCATTCATTATCAGCTCATTGACGTCAATGCATGTAGGTACGCTAGTTATATCAAATCAAATACAATGATTCAGTGACTGATTCTGGTTTGAATCACGATCTTTGCATAGTTGTAGCATGATGCCAGGGGACCTTGGACACACGCGACATAATTAAATTACGAACACCTCTCGTTATTGTGATTGTGAACTTCCAAGCGAGAGTCAGGAGTCCATTCGGAGGAAATAAAAAAAATCATATAAATCAACAACAGTACCAATACATACTGTGAGCAGCAGATTTGATGGACAAAAACCGCCACTTTTTTCTGGAAACACATCTCGAACGTTTAGCATTGTGTCAGTCATTGAACCGGTAGCAGAGCCGAAAGGACGCCCGGTCGCGGGAGATCGCACGCCCTGGTGCAGTGTTCAACCTGGCTAGCCCCCACAGTGTGGCTAAATTCATTTTACGTTAGGGGAGGATGTAGAAAAAAGGCCTGAAAGGATGTCGTTATTTTAATAAAACTTGACTTCGACTCTTTTTATGTCACGAGAAAATGATGTAGAAATATTAAACACTGATAAAACTTTGAAGGTATTCTGATATTCGGGATGTTAAATGAGGTTTCAGTTGGGTCATATATTTGAACATTAGGGGTATTCGAATGGTTGCCTTGGCGTGTTGTAAGAGTTTGCGAGGTTTGTGTTTCTCTTGCTCCTAGATGTTTGGGTTCGAGGTTGTTATAATGAGTCGTGACTGCTGTGTGGATGTTTTTATTTGTATTTTTAGGATGGATGTCATTATACTTTTCATTATGGGCGGATTTCCCCGCATCATTACAATTTTGGACACACTGAGCCCCCAATACCACGAGCGATGGCTAGCAGCCACAACGGCGAAAACGCGGTAGTGCCCCCCCCCCCCCCTCCACGTGTGACTGCGGCGCCAATCCTCGAGCACGACGGATAGCGATATGGAACTCTCTCCAGGCGAGACCGAGGCCCACCGCGGTCACCAGGGCGACCTGCTGCATATGGGCAAGAGGTCAGCGGCCGCGCCCGGGTGGGCCTGCCGATAGATTTTAGCATAACGCAGAAATGCCGGCCACCGCGCACCGAAGGTGCCATCACGCAGGTCTTATGTGTTCGGAACTGAGCGCCAGCTCTGGCTCAGCACTTCTACGATACAGATGGCGAACTATTATTTCCCAACAGAGGCAAATTTGGCTTTGAATTAAATGGACCACAATGGCCCAGCGCAATTCATGTCTCTGAGGTCGAACAAATACCAAAGTTTCAGCAAGGCACAGACAACCAGACAACGGACCTCCTCAGTTCTTCTTCACCGAGGGAACATATTGACATCATAGGCCGTGCAAACATGTCGCGAGTGGACAGAAACTCGGAGAATTGTCGATATTTCGTCTTCAGAATCAATCGATTCAGAACGATGCGATGCACATTAAACACCAGATGACGCCACATCACAAACCATGCTGTTCAAAGTGGTGCCAGATGAAACCTTTACCACCTTATCTCGGATCAAGCCATCAGGAAGTACCATCCTCGAAGCCATCATGTTTCCTTCGAGAGGCAAAGTGAACGGCACAAAATCGCCGTTCGGATTGTATACCCATCCGTATGCGCCAATCTTGATTCCGAGCCACTCCTGAGTGCCGGGCCGAGCCGGATCCTGCCAGAGCGCGTCGAGCTGGGCCGGCGTAAAGAGGCTGGCCAGGTCCCCGCCGCTCCTCAGATTGCCGCAGTAGGTGCGCGCCGCGTCATAGCTGAGAGCCTCAGGCGACGTGGCGTGCCAGTAGAAACGGCCGTCGACAGTGACTCCGCTGGGACCCGCCGTTATGGTGGGCGTTGCTGTAGTTGTTGTCGGCTCCGGTGCTGTTGTGGTCGTTGGTGGTGCTGTTGTGGTCGTTGCTGGTATTGTTGTGGTCGTTGGTGTTGTAGATGGTGGTGCTGTTGTGGTCGTTGGTGGTGCTGTTGTGGTCGTTGGTGGTGGTGTTGTGGTCGTTGGTGGCATTTTTGTGGTCGTTGGTGGTATTGTGGTCGTTGGTGGTATTGTGGTCGTTGGTGGCATTGTTGTGGTCGTTCGTGGTGGTGTTGTGATCGTTGGTGATGCTCTTGTGGTCGTTGTTGATGTGATTGTTGAAGTCGTTGACGGTAATGTTGTGGTCGTTGGTGGTAAAGTTGTGGTCGTTGGTGATGTGTATGTTGTGGTCGTTGGTAGTGCTGTTGTAGTCGGTAGTGGTGTTGTGGAAGGTGTTGGTGTCACCACTGTGGTAGTCTGCTCTTGGGTAGTCGGTGCGGGCACAGTGGAGGTGGTCGTGACGATCGGCGTGGCTGTATCTCCCGCGGTGGATGAAGCAGGCGTTTCTGTAGTTGCCTCTCCCGTTGTTGGCGAGGCGGCGGTTTCGGTGGTAGTTTCTGCCGCGGTGGATGGGACTCCTGGGGCTGTGGTCGTTCCAGCCGGTGTAGCGGTGGCGGTCGGTGCGGCGGTCGGTCCGCCGGTCGTTGTAGGCTGTGGTGACGTTGGTGCCGTCGCTGACGCTCCGCCGTCAGTGGTGTTGGTGTCAGCGGCGGTGCGGCGGTAGAGCGGCACCAGGGCGGCGCCGTCGCCGGCCCGGCCGTCGGCCAGCCGGCAGCCGTCGGTCCACTGGATGGCCCGGCAGTCGGGCAGCTGGAGACAGCGGGCCGCGCAGCCGATCAGCGTGGGGGCCGGCGGCTGCAGCAGCCAGGCGGACGGCGCCGCGGCCCAGTGGAGCTCGAACCGCTCCGCCGCGACCAGTGTCAGAGCGGCCAGCAGAGCCGGCAGCGCGCCAGCCGGCCGGGAGCGCATGGTGGACGCGCCGGCTCCGGACGGCCTCTGACGGCCGACCGACCGGACGGCCCGCCCGGCTGTGGCGTCCTGACCATCGTTGACTGGGAGACTGACTGTTTAAACACGGCTGAAAGCCACGCGTCCGAGCGGAGCCAACGCATATCGAACAACATATGTAGATAGTAATAGCTTGCAAGAAGCAGTATGGTGTGAGTATTGTCATTTCAATATTTTTGCTCTCACATGTCCTGGATTTAATCTCATTCAAGTCTTCACGTCTGTTACCTGCTCGGTATGCATTACCTACAATAAATCTCTTTTAATCGAGTTCTAAGAAGCATGCTCTGCTACACCCCTAGCACAACATCGACACACATGACAACAGTTAACCCTTGAGGCTTGAGATGCATTTTAATTTTCAACAAATGATCCGATTCCAATACGCTGATAAACGGACGCTGGCTGTTGCCCAGTTTCACGCATTTCTGTAACTACCTAAATGTCATATAGTTACGGACCACCTTACATAGCCTTATAGTCTTACACCACTAACGTCTTCGATGGTAGTGTTCCGACCAATTATGAGGAGCTAATCAGGACAAAATTTACCTATATCCATAATGGTTGTGTTCCGACCTGACCCCATGAGGACAATTGTCCGGCAGTTGACATGTTGAGCATACCTATTTACACCTCAGCTGTTTCAATGCGCGCAGACATAATAAAGTTAATGCACTTGGCAGAGCCGCTATTATCCAAATGACGGCCATACAGTAGCGATTGATGGCCGGTAACTCCTCCATATGCTGGCCTTCAACCACAATGAAGCAATCGGTCTCCCGGCCAACGATGGTCAGGACGCCACAGCCGGGCGGGCCGTCCGGTCGGTCGGCCGTCAGAGGCCGTCCGGCGCCGGCGCGTCCACCATGCGCTCCCGGCCGGCTGGCGCGCTGCCGGCTCTGCTGGCCGCTCTGACGCTGGTCGCGGCGGAGCGGTTCGAGCTCCACTGGGCCGCGGCGCCGTCCGCCTGGCTGCTGCAGCCGCCGGCCCCCACGCTGATCGGCTGCGCGGCCCGCTGTCTCCAGCTGCCCGACTGCCGGGCCATCCAGTGGACCGACGGCTGCCGGCTGTCCGACGGCCGGGCCGGCGACGGCGCCGCCCTGGTGCCGCTCTACCGCCGCACCGCCGCTGACACCAACACCACTGACGGCGGAGCGTCAGCGACGGCACCAACGTCACCACAGCCTACAACGACCGGCGGACCGACCGCCGCACCGACCGCCACCGCTACATCGGCTGGAACGACCACAGCCCCAGGAGTCCCATCCACCGCGGCAGAAACTACCACCGAAACCGCCGCCTCGCCAACAACGGGAGAGGCTACTACAGAAACGCCTGCTTCATCCACCGCGGTAGATACAGCCACGCCGATCGTCACAACTTCGCCACCACCGACTTCCTCAGCGCCTCCTGCCACACTGGTACAAACATCAACTCAATCAACATCGCCAACGACCACAACAGCACCACCAACGACCACAACAGCACCACCAACGACCACAACACCACCCGAGCCGACAACAACTACACCAACGCCCACCACAACGGCGGGTCCCAGCGGAGTCACTGTCGGCGGACGTTTCTACTGGCACGCCACGTCGCCTGAGGCGCTCAGCTATGACGCGGCGCGCACCTACTGCGGCAATCTGAGGAGCGGCGGGGACCTGGCCAGCCTCTTTACGCCGGCCCAGCTCGACGCGCTCTGGCAGGACCCGGCCCGGCCCGACGCGCAGGAGTGGCTCGGAATCAAGATTGGCGCATTTGGATGGACTTACAACCCCGACGGCAGCAAAATGCCGTTCGATTTCAATGGCTCGTGGCAGGGTAGCGGGTCCAAGATCACTCTGCCGGCAGGAAGAGTAACTGGCACGCTAGAGAAGGAGGATTCCATATTCAGTTCAACAAGATACACTCTGCGAAATATGGTGTGCGACGCACCGAGCCCCTGACGCGACCATCGCTCAGAGAACTGATATGAATCGTGTGACCGTGAATATCACCGGCGATCCGGGCGTCGGCATTGTCGGGTGGTGGCTCCACGCTGTCACCCGCAGCTCGCAAGAAGATCTGCTAGGCGTGGCGGTGCACCCGTGTGTCCAAGTCACCCACTCATCCATTCGTATAGACATTCTTAACCTGGGTCCTGCTGGGGAAAGGGTGTCTGACCCCCCCCCCCCCCCTAGGCTTCTCGCAAATATCTCGATGCCGGCACATCTTATCATACATCTTTTCTGCACATGTTACCAAAATTTTCAGACCCAGGTCACTCCAGGCCAGGTCACCAGCTCACGTCAAGTGACCTCACCTCGAAAGAGTTTCGATGCCTGCTATAGCTACACCGAGTGAATGAACGATCACTTTGAAACTTTCAGCGATTGGTAAGAGCGGCAATATGTACAAAATGTACATCTCGGAATTTCGATATCGGTGACCTAACGCCACGTCGATTTTGCGACCTCTACCTATATAATAAGTTAATGGGAGAAAATTGAAAGGCGCCTCTTTTGGACGAACGTCATTTTAGACACTCTCAAACACTGAATTACAAGAAAACATGACAAACTGAACTGGAAAACCGCACCAGTGGCCGTGACCCCTCTTAATGTCCCTGAGGTCATCTCAAGTCACGAATGGTGTCATTTTTTCGCGAATAACTTTTGATAAAGGTGTGCTAGAGCGACGAAAACGCCTTGGATGTGTTGAGCTCAACGATACAGATCGACTGATATGCAACACGACCTATTTCGGTCGGGTTATTACCTTGACCTGTCGTCAACTTTTAAAGTTGACCTTAAGGTCTAATTATAATTCATTCGATGCGTCTTGATGAGAGGTACACGATGCCGATAAAAGTAAGCTCCTGCAAGGTTTGTGTCAAAAGTTATTGCAGAAAAACTGTTTCCGCAAAAAAGATATATTTTGGCAGTTTTAGCCCCCTGCAGGAAAAGCCGTTGACCTAAGGCCCAATCTGAGATAATTATTCAGAAAGGGCTGTAGCTTTATTGGCTTCCGAGTGATGCGTCAATTTGTTGGAAATTGTCGACATTCGACCTGAAAATCTGCGAAACTTGTCCTTCGATGATCTCTGGTGACCTGACCTTTGACCTGACCAAAAAAGTGGCCTGAGTAATTTCGTCATTATTTTGACGATCTTTCGAACACTGCCTATCCCGTATCGCTACCTGGCCCAGGAGTCGAGTTAGAGGGGTGGAGGTGTTCAAACACTCCCAGTAAAGCGTGGAAATCCAGGAGCCCCAGCGGCGCGCGGGTTAAAAAAAAAAAAATGCTAGGATGGCATTGTCGCCGATAAGAGATGCACGTATACATATACATATAACGAACACCACGATGTGTTTATTGGGCTGGCAGGTTCAAAGGCCTTGCTTTCAATTTCTGTAGAATATCTGCATAATGCAATGCTGTTCAACATATGTTGATTTCTTTCGTTCCTGGTAATGTTTGCTCAATAAGAAACAAGCGGAAACGCTGAGTGTGACACTAAAAAAGACGAATCGAAGAAAACCATGCTAGCCCGCGCCGTGCGTTGTCGTGCCCCCTTCCGTGAATATCTCAATATCTCAAAAAACGCGAAGATCTAAAAAAAAAAAACACAAAAAAACGGCGGTTGTTTGGAACACCTGTTCATACATGTTTTCCGCACAAGTGATAATTCCAGAACCGGGTTGTTCAAGGTCAGGTCACCAGGTCACGTCAAGTGACCTTACCTCAGAAAAAGTTCAAAGGCTCGTTGTAACTACATCGACTGAACGATCGCTTTGAAACTTTCAGCGGTTGATACAAGTACCAGTACTTGTAAAATGTATATCTTGGATTTCTTTTATATCTGTGACCTAAGGTCAGGTCAATTTTCCGACCTCTATTATACCTACCTAGGTCAACGAGGGAAATTGAAATGCGCCTCTTTTGGATGAATGTCGTTTTAAACACTCTCAAATATAGGCTTTTAAGTAAGCATGACACACTGAATCGGAAAATTGCACCTATGACCCCTCTGTGCGCCCTTGAGATCATCTCAGGTCATGAAAGGTCACCAGTGCAGCAGTATTACTGTAACTTTTGATAGAGACGTGCTAGAGCGGGGTGAAAACACGTCAGATGTGTTCAGCTCGACGATACGGATCTATTGATATGCAGCATAACCCTTTCCGGTCAGGTCATGACCTTGACCCGAGGTCAACTTTTCAAAATGGCCTGGCAAAGCCAACTAATAGTTCATTCGACGCGTCTCGATGAGAGGAACACGATAGTAGCAAAAGTAATGTCGTGGCTCTCTTGAATTGAATCAAAAGTTATTACCTACCGAAAAACATGTTTTTAGTAAAAACGGATATTTCAGTTTTTTGCGCTCTGGAGGCTAACCCGCTGACCTGAGGTCAAATCCGAGAACAATATTCAGAAAGGCCTATGAAAGAGCTATCGAATGCGCTTTTCCGCGGCGCTGTAGCTCTATTGGTTCCCGAGTTATGCGTCGGGTATTTCGAAAATTATTTAAATACATAAACAAAATTCGACCTTTGATGACCTCTGGCGACCTGACCTTTGACCTGACCTAGCAAATGACCAAGAGTCATCAGCAAGTGAGTTAACGCTGCGTCAGATACTCTCGACACCAGTCGAACAAAGACGGATACGGGAAGGGAACGGGTACGGGTACGGGTACGGGTACGGGTACGGGTACGGGTACGGGTACGGGCTGCGGTACTCACTGAGGTCGGCATCCTGCGCCGGCAGCTGCTCGGTGACGGGATCGGCCGCGTCCGCTGCCGCCGGCTGCAGTGAGTCCGGACTGATGCTGACAATGTTCACCGCGCCCGGGTTACTCGCTGTGGACACAGAGTGGCGCGGGTCAGCACAGAACCCGTCAGACCGGGCGGCACGAGACAGGTGGTGGGGTAACAGCAAAGTGAAACGAAAGACCAAATTCTACATACTGCCAGCATGGATGAATTAATACATCTCATCCACGCTGTTATCTCATCCCTGCTGCCAGTATACTTCGATACAACAGATACATTTAGCAGGTCGCACATTCGTGCACGTAAATAAATGTAGTGGCAAAACCTGTCCCACCAGCTCTCTTCCTGACAACTGACGTAAGCCATTAATCCGCATTTGGCGTCCGTCACAGCTATACAAGTCAGTCGTATTCGTCACGTCGGACGTCCGTTATCGCAGTCATGTCTGTCACAACTAGTCACGTCCCCCTCTTCCGTCACAGCTGGCCTCGTCCCTTTCATCCCTCACAGCGACACATCTTCTACGTCCATCACGACTCTGCACACCCGACATCCCCCACTCACTAATGAGCTGCTGCATGGTGGCGGCGTCAATCTCCTGCGTCTGACCCGTGGCGTCATCCATGACGATGATGATGGCGTTCTGGCTCGAACCCATGCCGTCATCGGCCGCCGCCGCCGGGGACGGCGTAACGTCATCCTCGCCTACGATCGTCGTGTTTGACATGACGACCTAACGGGCCCTGCGAGGGAGAAACACGAGGTCAGACTGGTCTGCAGGAGGGTCGATCGGGTGCCATTGACAATAAAGACAGGTCTTGATGGTATACCGTGCGATAAAATTGAGATCAATATCAAAGCGAGATAGAGAAGAGGACAAGGATGATCGGCAGTGTCCTGAGTGGCAGCAGCAGCTGACCGGATCTAGGAGGCTCGCTCAGGCAAGGGTGCTTGAGCATGAATTCCAGAAACGTGAAAGTCGCTGGGTTACCAGACAAAGCATAAGCTGGGTTACCAGACAAAGCATAATACCTACCTACTTCCAAAACAATAAACATTTCGGAAGAAAATTTTCGTCACGCCGGTCCCGTTTTGCCAAAAGTGTGGATTGGGTTAATAATAAATCGATCCTCTGCGATCAGACACCACTCATCTTCTCCAAGCCAATAACGACTAAAAGACTGACAAATGGCTCATGACGTCTCACCATCAATTCTCCACGCAACCATTTCGCATTAGCGATTGAGGCCACGCAGTAGGTAATTAGGTACCCACCAGCTACATCGATCTCTAATTCATATATCCGAAGCCATTTAGAAACCACATAGTCGTTACAACCAGCCACGCCCATCGTGAATGATGGTACTACGTGTATCATTGCATCCATCGGTACATTATCGATGGATTCACTCGGCCTACTCCCAACGAATGAACGACCGAAGAAAGGAACGAACGAACGAACGAACGAACGAACGAACGAACGAACGAACGAACGAACGAGCGAGCGAGCGAGCGAGCGAGCAAACGAACGAACGAACCAACGAACCAACGAACGAACGAACGAACGATCCCAAGAGGGCGGGGTAGGCACGGGAGTCCGATATGGTGCCGTTTAATTTAAATCGGTACAGATGCAACATCTCTGCATCAAGTAACAACGCAATATCGCAATATCTCCCCGGTACAACAGCGAGACCTGAAAGCTAGACCGGCAGGTAGGCACCAACACACAGGAAGTTTCTTACAACACTCGAGTTATGTCACACTTGTTCATAAAATCAGCGCGCACGAAACAATAAAACGAATGAGTCACAAAAAGCGGATGTGGCCGAGGGTGCCGGCGGTGATCCGCGACAGACGAATAAGACGACACACCTTACACCGCGCGGCCGAACACGTTGATTCGTCATCTACAGATCGCACCACGGGATAAAACCGCAATTCCTAATGACCCCCGTGGCGGTACACAGGAGAACCGGTAGGATTCACAGCGGTCGGATGCCTTTCAGCGCCCATAGAGAGCTCACGCATGCCCACAGTTGGGACGCGTGCTTACAAAAGGCAATACTGCCAGAGCTGCTGATAATGCTGCTATATCTCACGCAACCAGCATTTGACCGTCCAATGGAACAAACACAGTAAAACACATCCGATGAACTCTTCGTCCCTATCGAAGGACCAAAAACATTCACAGCAAAACGCAGCCCGGCGCTCGGTACCTACGCAAGTCTTACAAACGCGCCAGGCTGGCGATACAGACGGGTAGGCGCGCAGTCGTGATCAGGGAAGGGGATGGGGGGGGGGTACTAGTCGACACGGAACGAGCACGGCCCGTGCGAACATGCCGTGATCACGGATCGGGTGTAGCGCGTCTGGTATGCACCGCAAGGCTAAAAGCTCGCCACTTCGAAAAACGACATTACCTATCGGGAACGCACATCGACTCGCTTGTCACATCGCAAATCACAGGCTGTTCAAAAACACACGGTAGGTATTATGCAATAGACAAATGTCTGCCATTCTAGCGTCAAAAAGCTATTGTAATGGCCCAAACTCGCCATTATTTGTAATTTACGACGGGTATTGTAACAGCGGATGGACAGCCGGACGGTCAGCCTAAACGACCAATAGGATAATGCAGAAAGCCGAAGGGCCAGGCAGTTATAAAAGGTGCCCGCCCTGCCCTATGCTGCAGTGTCATTACTGTGTCGTCGCCAGGGTAGCGCTGAACGGAGGACAGATAGACAGTGACCCGGACTGACCCACACAGCCCTGTCAGGTGACAGCCACCCGAGAACCACCCCGAGGTCATACAGGTCACTAGCCGCCACGCTGACCTAATATCACCGACAGCTGACTGACCTGACCAGTCAGTGGCACATAACCTGACCCAACCAGCCACCTTCAGCTGACTGTAATCCACCTTGACCTCATCCAGAGGTCACCTCAGCTACCCCCAATCTGATCACCTGACCTCAACCTGAGGTCACCTCAGCTATCCCCCCTCAGATTCACCCTACTCTGACCTCAATCTGTCACCGTCCAATCTGGCCCTCTGACTTCAACCTGAGGTCACCCTCAACTACCCCCCTTTTTTAGGTCACACTCAGCCACCCCCTGACCTCAACCTGAGGTCATCCTTAGCTACCCTCTATCCTGACTTCAGTCTGAGGTCACCCGAATACACTCACCTACGCCCGAGGTCACCCCCACCCTCCTGACGTCAACTTGGGACCACCCTCAGCTGCCCCCACCCTAACCTCAACCTGTCACCCTCAGTTACCCCAACTCTGACCTCACCTGAGGTCACCCTTAGCTACCCTCACAATGACCTCAACCTGAAGTCACAACCAGTCTCTCCCATCCTGCCCTCAACCTAAGGTCACACTCAGCTACCTCAGCCATGACCTCAACCTGTCACCTACAGCTACCCCTCAAACCTGAGATCATCCTCAGCTACTCCCACCCTGGCCTCAACCTGAGGTAGCACTTAGCTACCCTGACCTCGACCCGAGGTCACACTCACCTACCCACACCCTAACCTCAACACAAGATTACCTCTAGCTATCCCTACCCACCTGAGGCCACCCTCATCCTGGCCTCAGCCTGTCACACTCACCACCTGACCTCAACCTGAGGTCAAACCCGGCCACCCCCTGACCTCAACTTAAGGTCGCCGAAAGTTACCCCTGTTCAATTGGTCACCTTCAGCTACCCTCATCTTAACCTAAACCTGAGGTCACCCTCACCACCTGACCTCTACCTGCGGTCACCCACATCTATCCCTGAACATCTGAGGTCACCCTCATCTACCCCTACCCTGACCTCTCTACCTCAGCTGAGAGCAATCTCATCCCGATGGTCTGATACGGTTGGCTGACCGCTGACCTGACCTCGGGTCACACTCAGCCGACCGCCACCCTCGAAAGACCACTTACGTATCCCTACCCCGATGAGGTCACGGTGCACAGACTGTATCCTCAACCCTGACCAGAGGTCAATCCACTGACTGCCCGAGGTCAGTCAGCTGTCCCGCTATCCCCATTTCAATCAGCGCATGGGATTCAGACAGCCGATCGCATTCCATACTTACTGGCTCGAATAAAACGCATGCAATCGTAGGGTTAGAAGGCAGGCCGATATCTGGAGGACTCGGTCACCCAGGTCAGAAATGATGCAATTATACCCCCCCCCCCTTCCGAAATTCGTGGCTCGTCCGACCAGTAGGATCTCCGCTGACCGCTATATCCCCTCACCCACCGTGTTACCCGGTGTCGCGGAATCAGCGTCCCCAGTTTTCATCAAGACGGGCACCCACCAACCGCCGCGAAACCACCACCAAATCTTGGATCATCCCGGCTCAATCCTCTACCCTGACCACGAATGATGCCACAGATCCTTTCCCGGTGACCCTCACTTATCCACGGGCCGCATCACCCTCCCTCCCGGAACAGAATCTTCCCTCCCCCTCCCAGGCCCGGAAGGGCGGGCATCATATCGGAACCGGGCAATGACACACCCACACAGCCTAACAACCCTGAACATTGGGAGATTGAGTCCGGTCTCTCCACCCATACCCTGTCCTCCCCTCCCCCCGTACTCGCCAGCTACCTCCCACCCAACCTTATTTCCGCATGGCAGTCCATACAACCTTACCTGAGCAGTGGCCGGTATTAGTGCATTATGGCGGCCTTTTTCGAAAGTGTTCATCGAAAAGGCGACAGACACAAATAACAAAACAAGTGTCAAGTCACTATGTCGAATCGACGAGGTACAGACATTCATTTTGTATATGCACCTCCCCACGAGCATTGCAATGCACGTTTGGTGCTGAGATTTACACACGAGGTTTGGCTCGACACGCATGAAAGAGTAAAGCGACACCTACGAAAGGTACACGGGGGCCTTGTTTCACCGGTGATAGCAGCACGCTGCTTTTACACGTGTCAAATTGGGTTTCCATGGAAACATCAACAGGCCCATTGCTCCAACACTACGACAAGTGTGACGTCAGCTCGCGCAATTTGATAGCAGCGTGGTAGCAGCGTCCCGTGAAACACCGCCGGGGAGCTGACGCGGCTTTTACAGTGCATTTGTTTCTGTTTGCGAAATGATTGCTTCCATGGCCATCTCGAGATGCACCGGTACAATTGGTCATCATATCAAGCACGTTGAACCCACGGTCAAGATTTGTCGATTTTTGGGAAAAGGACGTATACAGCGCTGGAATGGAGATTGCTGGAAAAATAATCCTTTCAAAATCACGCAAAATGATAATTTCTTTAGAGAGGAGAAGGAACACGTTTACACATTCATGTGCACTTCGCGTCTTACTAAAGTCATCGGTGTCGTTTCGTCTATGCACGTGTCTGTGCGCGTAACTACAACGAATCTTTATTTCGCAGCCTTGGGAGCATTTTGATGAGATAAGCTGCATGGAGTGTCCTTAGTCGTCCAGGCGCGGATGTGATGGGAAGGGCGGTGGTGAGCAGCTGTGAGAGAAGGTTGCAGCAGCGCGACGATCCGCCGTTCAGCGACGAGCAGTGGCGCACCGCACCGCGAGCCGAGCCGGACTGGAAGGGCGCAGTGTAGTCCCGTATAGGTGGCGTACCTGACGCGTACCCCGAACAGACGATCTGTAGAGTGCGGAGACGTGCACAGACGCAAGGGTACAGCGCCATAGACACGCCCTCCGAGTCATGCCGCCACTCGTCTGGTCAGAACACTGTCAATATAACACAACGGACGGACGGCGAACAACATAGCAGACTAATCAGAATAAGACCGAATATCTGACCCTCAGGTTCGCGTAAAACATCGCCTCCTGGGCAGGGCCGGCCGTCAGGCAGGGCGGTCTATACCCCGTGAAGGACGGTCTACACTCCGGTCTACACACCCAACCCCGGGAAGAAATGTCGAGCACCGCATAAATGCAATGATTGCTGGTTTTAGCGACGAATCCTTTCATGCGCCTAACCGACTGTCGGCCGAATGGTGAGCTGACAAAGAAAATACAACCATTATACCCTGACCACGCATTGAAAGCTGCAATAGGGTAGACAACAAAAGAGGTTTATGTGGTTACCTGAGCGATCATGTAATAAATGCATATGATTACGCGATTAATCGTAGAGCACCACAATGCATATAATATCCAGCGTTTGACAAACGAAGTCAATAAGGAGCCCCCACAAAGCACGGTATGCCATTGTCTCGTGCCTGTGGACGTACCGACACGGGTGTAGAGTCGGCCGGACCGGGCCGGGCCGGGCGCCGCGCAACGCCGCACTGTGGGTATCAGTCACCGCGTCACTAGCACGACCAAACAGCGCACAGTGGCGGCAAAACGAACAGATGGCACACACTGATCCACCAACGAGCAACGGGAGTCTCGATTATCCGGGGGGAAAGCATGATTCAGATCAGAACTAGTAGATGTTAAACATAATTGTCATGTTCACAGTGGCAAACCAACATGAATTCTCGCAAGTTATGTTTTGCGTATGCGCAAACGTTATCATCTTAACCGACCATACCTTGATGAATAAGACCTTGCAAATCAGGTACCACTTGTCATACTTGGACACTATCCGGACATAATCAGCCGGCTGTGAGCCCTCCCCCCCCCCGTGGAGCTGAAAACGTGCCTTTGGAGGGGGAACGCAGGCCAAGAGACAAATAAGTGAAAAAATGAACCCCGCTTCAGCTTAACATGCTCATATAGTCCACAATATATTACCAGCCACCAACATCTTTAGGGACTACACTTGTTTTGTTGGATTTGGTAGTTTCAGTGCGAGAAGTTATAAGAGTAGGTACTCGACGACTATAGGATGAAAGGATTGGAGTGAGACATCGGGCTGCGTCGACCGCCGCCAGGTGCGCCGCAATTACTGAGCCCATCACGTGTGTACGGGAGAGTCCCGGTGGGCCAGGCCACCTAAACACTTCACCAGTCACCCAGGAAGGACATGCTCCTTTCGTTTCTGCCCTCCATCTACATATTGTCTCGTGGAGTGACAGACAGTGCGGACAGTGTAGTGTGATTTCGGGTGCGAATGGATCATTCTGAGGAGAAATAAGGCAGAGAGGGGCAACACGAAAAAGCAGCATTAAACGAAGAGCTTGCCACATAATATATTATGTGTGTTTTGGGGTATATCCTCTTCCCTCGTGACGCGCTAAACCCAATATTCTTTAGGGGAGAGTGGGGTACATTCGAAAAAAGCAACGAAAGAGCACCTTTAAAGTCGGTGAAGCGCAAGAAAGCATTATTACTTAGTTACCTATGACATTTTTCACGTACCTACCTAAATGACTTATATGTTGAGCCCTTCTCAAGACTGCGGAGTCGCAGTCGGAGTCGGCCCGGTCACCGGTGTTGACAGATTTGCCCGGAATCAGAGTGGCCTAAATTCGAAGTTAAAGGGACCCTCCCACCTTCAAAAAAGTTCATGAATTGGCATGAAAGTGATGTCGTTCGGTTCAAAAAGAGCAAAAACGAATATCTACTAACTTTCATCGAAAAATATTCACGGGTTTTCAAGATATTAGACTCTTACTTTTGTTTACTTTTTGGGATCTCCGCTGTTCCTAGCGACTTTATTTGAAAGTGTGGCACTTGTTGCGCGCAAAGCAGCATACAGGCCTACAGGGTGTCTCAAAAGTTCGTTGACAGGCACTAGCCACGTTTTTTTCGTCAATAATTTCGAATCAACAAGAAATTCAATGTCGAAATTTTGTATGGGCATTGCTAAAGACCGTCCTTAAGCAGTGTCACTGTTTTCAAATGCATTCGACCCTTCATGAGCTCACAAAAAGGGTTCACCTCTGACCATGGGTCAGGCATAAAAATGGATGTCGCAAAATCGGGTCCGATGTGAGACGCTCTGTTTCAGGAGTAATGGGAATGGTTAAGTCAGGACTGACACATGGCAAAATGTCGGCCAGGATGGGTGCAACATGATGATCATTTAAAAATGGTGGCAAAAATTTTTGAAGGGCGAAACCATCCGAGACTAACATCGTTTTGATCGACCCCGTACGTCAGCTAGGCTCGTGTGCCAAAAAGCAGCTGAAAATGCGGTCATAACTATTGACAACTGGCAAGAAGCTCACAAGTAAAGGCTACCCAGTTTCAAAATAGTAGATCATCGTAAAATAAAGACAAAACATGGTTTAAAATTCTTCTTAGTATCTAAAATGTCAATTTTTTTGGGAAAATAACACAAAATCATCATTAATGTCAAGGATACTTGCCCCCAAAGCAGGTGAATAAATGTAAAGTTTGATCCTAGGAAGTTTCATGAGGCAGATGTGGAGCGAATAGCTTTCTTTCAGACACGAAATCCCGACAAAACCATATGATAGATAGGCCTGGACCGTTTACAAAGCAAAAGCTCTCTTGAGGAAAACACTCTGCAACCCTGCAATGTTTTGGCATGTTGCAAAATTTGAACGGCGTGTCTCAGAAACAGATGGCCGACACATTCTCCTACGATATTATGCAAAAAGAATACTGGCACTTCCCGTTTGTTCAGGAATGGGGTCGTTTTAAAAAGGGAAATGGTGCTTTGGATGTCGGCACTCGGCGCCAGCCTTCGTGAAGTAGCTGGCGCCAGAGAATACCTACAAAATACTCATGAATGGTGTCGATGCAAGCTGTCGGCTTTCACGGAGAAGCAAATGTGGCCGGGGAGCTCGTTAAACCTAAATCCGACGCAGAAACTGCAGGGGATTTCTCTGCAAGAGCTTGAAAGCAGGTCACCTTTTATCAGCCTCCGGCAGCTGACAGAGCGACGAAAAGCGGTATCGGCAATTTTTTGGGAGCTACAGCAAAGGGTTTGGTTTCCAACATTCCGAATTCGTTTGTCAAAGCACGTGCATTTGTCTAGTGTACACATAGGAATCAACACCTTATATTTTTGGCTGGTTCTTATATGCTTTATTGGCATGGAAAATGTGTCAACGAGCTTTTGAGACACCCTGTATAACAACGCGTGCTAGCAAACATTTCAGTAAAAGATTTAAAATCGTTAGATCTGCGCTGACGTCACACATTCAGAGGGAGCATTCTAATGCATTAACCCCTCTGAACCCAAGTGCTGCAACTTTGAAATTAGATATTTTCGATTTGAGGCATTTCTCGATCTTGTGAGTGCTCAAACTGGTAAGTGCAAGCCAGGGAACCCATTTTGGCTATCTCAGGTCAAAACTAATGTTAAGGTGGGATGGTCAAATTAACACTGTATTGCTCATAGTCACACCCTACACCTGGTTGCTTAAGGATATTTCTCTTGTTGACCCTCAAAAATCAGATTTTGTTGGAGCTAGGTACATGCCCCTCTTTTGGACAAACTGAAGACTGCTTCTTGGTCAGAACCTATTTTTTATTTCTGCATTTATTTAAAAAGTATATTTGCAATACAAGGGCTTGGAATGCACAAAGGGTCATTTCAAGCAAGATATAAGGATCTGACATGAACTTTGCATTGAATTTATGGACTCAGAGAGCAATGACTTGAGTCAGAGCTGGAGTCAGAGTTGAAGTCAATTTTTTAAAATTAGAGTTGGAGTCACCAAAAAAAAAAACGTTGACTTTGCAGCCCTGCCTAGTGCCTACAACCAGCACCTCCGGCACCGCCTTCTGTTAACCCGCGCGGGGCTGGGGGGGGGTAAATTTTACCCCCCCCCCTCGCGAATATTTGCAATATCTCAAAAACGGCGGCGCGCAGCGCCGCCAAACTTTCAGTACCTTTTCTTACATCAATTTGACACGTTCTCTGAAAATTTGAGCGAAATCCGTCGGAAAATTTTTGAGAAATTGACGTTTTAGTGACGTCATGTTCGCCATTTTCGCCTCAAAAACGGCAAAAGTTCAAACGCCGCTAACATCTTCATTTTTAAAGGAATCGAGACGTAACAAAAAAGGATATACGTAATTTTACTTTGTCTATCAAATGGCTATCTCGGTTTTTTGAAAATTTTTGATTTTGGCCCAAATTTTTTTCAAAAAACTGACTTTTTTGGAAAAATAACTATAAAATCCAAAATTTTGAGTGTATCGAAAAAACCGGAATATATGTCAGAGAAGTGGTCTATGTGCACCTACATACCAAGTTTTAGAAGAATCGGTTCAAAAATGTGGGAGTTATTCAAAATTGTATGACATCACGACACACAAAATTTTTGAAAAATGACTTTTTGGAAGTTCTAGACCTCGTAAGGAAACAAAAATAGCACCATTCGATTCGCCGTGAAAAACTGCATCAGATAGACACCTTTTTAGGCCTTAACAACCAACTTCAAAATTTGACCTCACTTGACCTGACCTTGACCTGACCTCGACCTGAAATTCATCCAGAGGTGGTCCATATCACTTATTGAGTGTGCCTATTGAATTCTATGAGTAAAATGACCCATAAAACATGTGTCGCACATGCCCTTTTCTATATTTTGTTTTTGGTGACCTGACCTGACCTGACCTGACCTTGACCTTGACCTTGACCTCTGAATGATATTTTATGCAACGAATATTGTCTTGGTAGCCTAAGAACACGTTTTGGGCGATCAGTCTCAGTCCATGACTCCATTCTTCGGCAACTACGGTGCAAGGCCGATACTGTAGGAACTTGCAATTTGTACCCTTGACCTGACCTTGACCTTGACCTCAAACTTAAAATTAAGTACATGTTTTTAGTTGTTCGTGATGAGATCTTTCGATTGCCGTTTGAATTTTCCAAATCGGACCATTAGTTCGGGAGATAACAGGGGGGGGGGGGTAAAATTTACCCCCCCCCCCAGCCCCGCGCGTTCGGCTGGAGACCCCAGCCCCGCGCGGGTTAAGCTGTTTATGCTTTAATTGCTATCAGCTTTGCATAATAAGGCAATGAGTGCATCTGCAAAGGTATTTAGCCAAGCCATTTGATGAACTCACTAGTTGCTTTAACATTGCTGCACCTGGTATATTATGCTTTGTAATGTAAAATGTTACAGACTGGTCACTTCCCCAGGTTCGGTGTGATTTTTTTCCTACTCTCAGCAGTCGGCCGGCTTTGAAGCGGATTTTCCAGCTCTGTTTGAAGGATTGGTGCGGATTTTGAACTTAAGCTGGTGCGCCTAGTCGACCTACGACCCACGCTTTACAGACTGGGTCAAAAGCAGCAATGCCAGACTGCAAAGTATGGCAATTTCGACGAGATCTCGTCGGTGCGGGCTTGTACGGCTGGTGCGGATTTTGGAGTGGTGCGGTGCGGATTTTGCCTGGTGCGGTGCGGATTTGGCTTGGACCTTGATGCGGTGCGGACTTCGCTTGGTCTTCTTACCCGGCCGGGTTTCCTTGTTGACTGTTCTTTGGAAAGCCCTACAAATGCGTGCCAGCCACGGTGACGAACGGTGACGGAGAAAGGTTTTAAATTTACTCTACGAACTAACAATTGCGGCAGAACAAATCCATCCTCGCCTCGGAAATTAACGTGATGACGACGTCATTAGAACGAAGACTGGTTGCGGTGGTGATTGGTATGTCACATTTGCGAGCAGCTGGTTTGAATTGCCAATCAGCACGCTAGGTACTTTGGAATGACGTCATTAGTTTTACTCATACGAAAGTTTGTTGGGGCGATTTTATCAAGGCTCGTCAAATTCACATGTGACATTTAGCATGTAGAAGCAGGGCTGCGGAGTCGATGGATTTTCGGCGACTCCGACTCCGACTTTCAAAAACCAGCTCCGACACCGACTCCGACTCCGGGCAGAATTGTCGACTCCGACCGACTCCAACTCCCGACTCCGACTCCGCAGACCTAGCAGGGCTGCGGAGTCGACAGATTTTCGGTGACTCCGACTCCGACTCCGGCTCGGGTTTCTAAAATCGACTCCGACTCCGACTCCGGTCACAACTGTCGACTCCGACCGACTCTGACTCCGACTCCGACTCCGCAGCCCTGTGTAGAAGGCCCACAGAGAGGGGAGAAGTTCCGTATGTCACGTGACCCAATATGCCTTCCGCCGCCCTGTTTTCACCGGCATCCATCTATTTGCTCTATTTCAAACTTCCGGTACAAGTGCGCTGCGCGGTCCCATGGTGAGCAATGAGCATTGCTGGTTGCTCGTAAAACTGAAGTTGGAGGGGAAATGATTATAGTGAGATGAATGAAGTCCCTTGCATTATAATTGCCTGTGGGTTCCGTGCGGATATTTTGGGCTCTCGTCTCGCTTTGGTGCAGATTTTCCGGCTCAGTTTGAAGGGTTGGTGCGGATTTTGAACTTGGGCCGGTGCGCCTCGTCGACCTGCTTGCCATACTTTGCAGTCTGGCAGCAATGTAAGACATTAGTGTTATGCTCTCAGATGCTCAATCAGAAAATGAAATGTTTAGTGTTTATGAATACATATTGAGACAAAGGTTTGGGGTTGGGCTGGAGGAAAACCTTAAATTGAAATGGAATGTGGGTAAAGCTCGGCTCGGCCTTCGCTAGGCGGCCTTCACTCAATTATCGAGACAACGAAATAGTTAATGAGCATGCGTTAAAGATATACATGAACTGATCCTCACCCTGAAAACCCTAGTAATATTTTAAGAATCCAACGGTACAGCAATCATTTCAAAGGTATTTTGATTTAGTGTGTAAAAATCAGTAAAAATAAAAAATACACAACCACAAACAACGACGCAGTCGCGTGCTCAAAGTGCGCGTTATTCGACGCATAATAGACGATAGAGGCCTTCTTGAGATTTCGTAAATAAGTTCCGTTCGTTTTAAAGAAAAAATCTCTAAAGACTGCACTTTTAACATTTCTCCACAAAAAAACACACAATTTTTTGTTCAGACATGGTGAATGCTATCATTTCATGTTAAATGTTTAATTTCTTGTTTTATTTTGATAAATTGTTGTACTTTCTTACTTATTTACTTTTGAAATGAGAAAAACACGTGTTTGTATGTAATGACTTTAATTTCATTATCTCAAGATTTCATCGAACTAGTACTTTCAGCTCAGTCTTGGGTCTTGAATAGGATATGACATATTTTGCAGAATTTCCGTTTTTTAGACAAACATTCTTCGTTTTCTTAAAGGGACCCTCCCACCTTAACATTAGTTTTGAGTTGAGATAGCCAAATTGGTGGCCATGGCCTGAAAATACCGGTTTGGGCATTCACAACATCGAAAAATGCTTTAATTCGGAGATATGGAATTTCAAACTTGCAGTTTTCGGATTCTAAGGGGCTAATGCATTGGTATGCCCCCTTAGAATTTGTGACGTCAGCGGAGATCTAACGATTTTTAAATCTTTTACTAAAACGTTTGGCAGCACGCGGTGGTATATGCTGCTTTGCGCGCAACAAATGCCGCACTTTCAAATAAAGTCGCTAGGAACAGCGGAGACCCCAAAAAGTAAACAAAAGTAAAAGTCTAATATCTTGAAAACCGGTGAATATTTTTCGATGAAATTTGGTAGATATTCATTTTTGCTCTTTCTTAACCGAGCGACATCACTTTCATGCCAATTCATTAACTTTTTTGAAGGTGGGAGGGTCCCTTTAAGGCCAATTGCTAAGTATATGTTTTAAATTACTTACGGATGCCGTTTTCCTTATAAAAGCTTTGCCTAAAACGAACGTGATAACAACTCTAAAAGGTGTCACGTGACAAAGGGCCTAAGATAAAAAGCACTAGCCTTGCCGATTTCTCCTCGCCCTTTCTTATTCAATTTTTATTTCAATTTTTGATAGGAAGATTATAGCGATTGGCTTGGGGCGTGACGTTATCTTAGGACCATCATCGTTATCCTGGGATCTGTCTTATTTCGGTGTCAGTAAAGAGCTTCCACAGACCACAATCCACATCAACATCATCGAGGAATCCCACTAAGAAGACCACGGTCGGACAGGTAGGTAGGTAGCAAATTTAGGTGACCGTCTTTCAGTTTTCACCAAAAACCCTGCGCCAAAAAATTGAGCCATCACCATGCGCTGAATTTGGCACATGTGAACTTACACCTGATGTGAGCTGAAATTTTGGCGTAATCCCGCCACTACGCCGTAGGTACATATTCGGCATAACATGTATTTTTTCCAGTCTGGTGCTGAAGTAACCTTGACCTTGGTCGACCTTTTATATAAGTCTGACAAAATAAATAGTTTATCAATATCAAGTCATCAGCAATTGTTTTGTTGAGCATAGCACAGGCTAAAGAACAGACAAAGAAAATAAATTTGGGTAAATGTCAAGTTTAAGTCCTAAGAAGATTTCATTGATAAATTTTTCATATTTTTACATTATTTGACATCCTGAATCCAAAAATGATACTCATATGTCTCGCAAATAAAAGAAAAAAAAACATAATTAAACCTGACCTAACCTTACCTACTTACCTATAACCTTGTACCAACCTACAACCTACAAACCACCTACCCTAACCTAACCTACAAACCTACCTACCTAGTCCTAAAACCTACAAACCTACAACCTAACCTAGTCCTAACCTAAAACCTAAAATTTTTGCTGTTTCATATTCGTATCAACAGCGTCACAATTGTAGTTAGGACCTAAACTTGACATACCACCAAATTTAGCAAGCTGGTGAATCGAGCAGCAGCCAGCAGATGAGCTCTTCGGGCGGTTCTAGTGAGGTTTCGGGACAAGATGTCCCTACCCCAGTCATCGCGTGCTTGAACTGGCGAGCTGCCCTGTCCCCTGAGTACTCGGCTGAGGAGCAGCCGCCCAGTTCACAGGTGATGCCTGAGCCCTCGTCATGGAGATAGGTATGTGACCAGACCTTGTTGAACATCGCCGAGTGTTGTTGAATAATACTGCAGTGGGTTGCTGCCCACTGCGGTAATGAGGGTAACGAGGGCGCGGAAGACTGACGAAACAAGCATCCACCCTACCCTCGAACGCCCGCTCGCTGACCAGAGAGCTGTTCACGGGCCCTGTGTGCGGTCGGACCGTACACAGGCTGTAAGATCCTCCCACTGCGTCCCTACATCCTTCAGTCACCGCACACAGCGACCGCTGTGGTCGGTCGAGACCGGCCACAGGGGATCCGGCCACCGCACGCAGGCGTGACGTCAGAACCGCCTACCCATCCTCCGAGTCAACTGCTCCGAGTCATTATTCAAGCTACTCCTTGGGACCACGCCGCCGCTCCCTTTCCCCGGAGAGGACCGAGAGGACGCCGTTTCGGCGCACTAGATAGGGCAGGCCACTGGGGCCGTCCGCTCCAGTGCGTGCACCGAATCGGCTGTCTCCACTCTCCACTCTGCGGCGTGCCACCAGTGCCCAGACAGGCGGTGCCCCGCGGCGCTCTGCGCCGTGTGCCGAGAAGAGGCTGATGTGCCGGAGTACTTGCTACTCCGCTGCTCGACCCTCGCTGGCTCCCGCCAGCCTCGAACACACCGCTCCGCCGATTTATGTGGCCCTGGAACTTCTGGCCCCGGCCTTGTTTCACGGCACGACGCTACAGTGCGCAAAGCGTAATGAGGTATTGGGTTTCCGTGAAAATAAAGAACTTATTCGGACACTCAGACATGGAAGAGCGTCCAAGGCCCCGGAACGCTCTGTTTGGTTGATATAGCCTTGATCGGTAGATATGCACATTTGTATGTGTATTTGTATTTGTATTTAGACTGGAGCTCTCCACAGGTGGCTAATACGAGCCCGTTTAACCCGGCAGTTGCTGGGGTATTTCGCCACCCACCGTTTGCTGGGGGGGGGGGGGGGCGTTAAACGCCCCCAGCCGATAACTCGAGAACCAATAGGCGCAGCGAAACGCACGAGGCGGCAAACGAAATAACGCGACGAGACGCTTCAGATGAGTACTTAAAAGTTGAATTTTGAGGTCACAGGTCGGGTCAAGGTCAGGTCAAACACCTGAAATCGGGCTTTCAGTAGCATGGACTTCAGGACTTCGCAATGGGCGCCTCTCGTCATAAACTCTGTCAAAACGGTGCACAATCCATCATATAAGGCCTACAAGAGTGTCAGCTCCATCTAGGGGTCACTCAAGCATAGGTCAGGGTCAAGGTCAGGTCAACCGGGTAGGCACATATCCCCGAAAATCAAAACTAATATTCGCAGCCTGTGACACATGTTTTATGGGTAATTTGGGGCGTAGAACACGATGGTGACATTCATTTTATCATATGTGTACGTGTTTGGCTCAAAAAGTTCAATTTAAGAAATTCATGTATCATGGTCGTGAAGTAGTCCCGAGAAATTGCCAAGATTCAGTTCAAGATTTTGGAAAATGCGGAACGATAATCAATAATCGAAGATAGCCATTTGATTGTTCATGGTATTGGCAGTCTAATGGCGTCTACCGCATGTCTGTATGTCTATTCTGTGATTTTATATGATTTTTTGAATATATGCCGTTTTTGGTCGAAAACTCAGAAATCGTGACGTCACTAAAACCTCGATATCTCAAAAATTTTCCGACCGATTTTTTTGAAACTTTGTCACAATAAACTTCAATCAATTCTCTACAGGTACCCAGAATTTGGCGCGCCTGCGGCGCGCCGTTTTTATACTATGGCCCGGCGAAAAAAGTGGGGGCGTTTAACGCCCCCCCCCCCCCAGCAACTCGCGGGTTAACATGGCAAGACATTGACATACCCATACACAAGACATACACACACAGGAATAATAGAGCTGAGACAAACAGATAATGAGTGTTTTCACTGTGCCAGTCTGTTCGTCAGCTGGCGACTTGAAGAAGGAAGTGTTGTCGTACGCGAAAGTTTATTCCACGACGCGGCGGCTCGGCATATGTGCTTTACATCAAAGTGGCTTGATTTTGGCACAAATAGGCACCCAATTGTCGGCGCTTATCATGCAGAAATTTCAGCGCAAGCTGCTTGCGCCTAATTTCGGCGCGAAAGGATCTCACTGGCGTCCGGCGTAGTGTATGAATGTTTCCCAGTTTGGCTTTAACAGATTGTCGAAGGCCAGAATCAGGAACTGGCCATACCAATGTGACATCTGGATTGGGGTCTCAACTGTCTTGCATTCACCACAGCACTGCTGCTCTTTACAGATCACACTTGTACAAGACTGTGCAGGGCACTAAATCGCAAAAATGCCCGTCCAAGGTTTTGAATTCAAAGTGACTGAAAGGAAGCTCACTTGTCCTTTTAACCCAGCACATCAAGTTACGGACATGCAAAAACACCTGACGCGCTGCTCTTCGGTAAGTGCTCCAGCTAAACCTTGGTGAATGGATCATTGAGTTATTGTGAAGTTAGTTAGTTGTGTACTTGGATGTGATGCAGAGTAGGTACTCCTTTTAATTCCTTTTACACATAGCTACCTGTTATTTCCTTTTGAGTTTTATTCAACCTATGTGTCAACCCCGAGCTTGTGACATGATCAACCAACTGTCTTTTTGCCAGTACAATAAGGATGTACGGGTAAAGCTGTGCCCCTTCAACGCCACACACTGGATTAAGGAACCCGAATTCCGCCACCACCTGGACCGGTGTCCCGACAAGGCACCCATTGACCGTGCCGTGCTCGCCATGAAAGCAGGTGAGCCTAGCATGAAGCGTACTGACTTGATCAGCCATCAACAGTAAGACAGTATTGTGCTGACCATGAAATGCATGCTTGATATTTATGCTATGACTTGCTTCACTTGTTGACTCATACACTCAAACACCATCGAGTCAGTTTTGTTGTGCTTCTTTTGTTCTGTTGAGATTTATAAAATGGCTCTTCAGTTATTCATACACTGTTAACAATGGAACTTAGAATGTCATAAAAGCTTCCTAATCAAACTTCAACCAGCATCTAGGTATCCATAGTATGTTTCATGTTTGTCTTTTTTCATCACGTGTCATAATTTTTTTGTACCCATCTGCCGTTAGTTGTATGCTCTCAATGCGTCTGTGTTTTTGTGTGCCCGACGGACAGGCGCCGAGGGCACCTCTGGCGATCTAAGTATGCCCGTCACCTGGAGCGCCCGCAACGAGGCCGTCGAGAACCAGGTGGAGGGCTGGGACAACGACGGCTCCGACGAGTGGGACGTGGAGGTGAGCCAGCTGCCGCGTCACATGCGCCAGAAGTACGACCCCAAGGTGGCCACGCAGAACCGGGAGATATTCCGCGTGCCCACCGAGCACCGCGGCAAGTCTGCCAGAAACGAGTTCCGTCGACAGAACGTGGAGAGGGCGCAGGCCATCCAGAACGGCAGGTGAGCCGCCGCACGGACGGCAGCGGGCACGGAACGCGGCGGCTTGGGAGCACGGCGGTGGGGGACATCTCGTTTGCCAAGACATTGGGCTCAGTGGGGATGACGTTGCATCGTTACTTTGTTTGCTTTAAGTATTTGCTTTTTATATTTCGACTGCTCGTGCTTCTTCTGTTTGGAGTGACAAGTTCCTGATTCGCTCTACCAACAGCGAGGCGGGCTCGGTGGTGGGCGCCTCGTCGGCGGCGGCGCCGTCCGTGTCCTCGATCGGCGCGCGCCGGCGGCCCATGAGCAACCCCATCTGCTGCAACGGCATGAACATCAACCCCAACCTGGGCATGGGCCGGGCGCGGCGTCCGGCGCCGGCGGCGCTGCCGGCCGCGCTGGTCGGCGAGCCGGCAGGCGGGGACGGGGCGCCGGCGGCCAGCGCGCGGCCGGCCGTCGTCGGACGCGGCCGCGGCGCCATCACCTCGCAGCTGAAGACGCCCGGCGTGCGTATCGGCGCCGACGGAGACCGGTCGACGAGCGGCGCGTCCAACTAGCGCCGGCGGGCCGTGCCGCGGTGAGTGGCGACCTGGGTGGGAGGCTGAGCAGCCCACGCCGGCCGGACTTGGCCTAGACCCCAGCTGACTTGCTGTATCTGATCGCTCATAGTCGATAAGGAGCAACACGATACCTGCCGTCTCGCTACATTTGTTACTTTCGTTTCGTGTAAAAAGCAGAAATAAGGTGAGGATTGTTTCCATATCCATATTTGGGCAACTGTGGTCTTTACTTAGTCCTTAGCTGCTAACCGTTTTTACATTTGGGGGTGTTTTTTTTCTCAGACTGTGCCACTCTGTCCCGGCTTCTCTATCCATCTTGTATGTGTCCCCGCTGTTTAGCTATGCTCTTGATTTTCCTTATGTATCCTGTTGTTCTAGCAGCTACTCTCCTTATTTCCTATCCTCACTTTTCCAGCTATGTTCTTATCACTCACGTGTCCGTCCTGTTTCATCTCGGACGCACGTCATCCTTATCTCGATGTCCCCACTTTCCCAGCTATGTTCTAATCACTGACGTCAGGGCGGACACACGTCATCCTTATATCGATGTCCTCGCCTTTCCGGCTATGTTTCTGAAATCTCTGACGTATATCCGCCCTCTTTCAGGCACCATCCCTCCGAGTGTCACACACGGGCGGACGGACTGTGATCCCTGGAAAGGTCGGGGGCGGCCGGCTAGGTCCGTCGCTCCTTCTGACGAAGCCGGTTTATTTGTACAATTCCGACCAGTCTGCTCTGACATCGCCCGGGGCGACGCTCAGCTCAGAGATCGTGGGAGAGGCGCCACGCGACTCGTACGGTGCCGTCTATTGTGTGCGCGCGGAGGGACGCCGCTGTGCGCTGTAACAGCAGGCGCTGGAGTATTTGCCGACGCAAAGTAACTGCTAGTATTTGCCGACGCAATGTAACTACTATGCTATGTGGGAGAGCACTACCTCATTGTTTCGTGATTGGGCGGCGACGGTCTTGTAGTTAGGTTCCGATACAGGGGTAGTGCGACTCCCTAATCAAGATAACACGTTTTAGCTTAAGACGTTTGGGGTAACGCGATCGGACGAGAGACGCGCTGGTAACGCGACGTCACCCTGGGACCATAGGTGGGGGCCGTAGAGTAGCCCTCGTGCATGGGTGTTGTCACAGTGTCCAGTATGATTGCGCTACCGGTGTCATACATGCATTATTTTTGTATCCAAGTGGCACAAGCGTTACTTGCATCGTTTGTTACATGGGACGCTGTTACACGGGAGAATGTGCGGCGTTCACCCTGCACGCTTCTCTCTCTCTCTCTCTCTCTCTCTCTCTCTCTCTCTCTCTCTCTCTCTCTCTCTCTCTCTCTCTCTCTCTCTCTCTCTCTCTCTCTCTCTCTCTCTTTCTCTCTTTCTCTCTTTCTCTCTTTCTCTCTCTCTCGCTCGCTCTCGCTCTCTCTCTCTCTCTCCTCCCTCTCTCATCAACCGCTACTAACTGACTCGAGGTAGGCTTCGGTGGTACCGGCGCACGTTATTCAAGAGTTACACATTTGAAGCAACGGCCGGGGGAAGCCTGAGCATTGCGTTGCGTTACTCTGATGTTTGTTGAGCTTTCACGGTGAGAGACAGCTCGGGGAACGTACAAAACTGAAGCTCATCAATACTGAAGGCGCATAGCTGTTGCTTTCTTCTGTTGCGATATTCACTGACATCTACTTTCAACATGCAATGTGTATTGTGTAACAAGTGCGCAGATGAGTGGGAGACAGTCGTGCTACTGTGGCCGAACTGGCCGTGAGCAATTAAAATCCTGTTCGCCTGTGCTGCTTTGTACGGGCGGTCCGTTTGGTCGGCGTGTGATATGACCGGAGCTCACCGACCTGTGGGCAGCGTGACGCACGTCCGGTCAGCGTGTGGCTACTGGCTGGGTATCGGTAATGGAGGTGGGCCGATAAGCGTACCACGGCGCTGCCTAGCATGCCTGTCTGTGTATGCGCATGAATCGGAATAAAAATCAAAACGGCAGTTCAAGGTGACAACTTGACCCCTCTCTCAACATAGACGGATTATCGATATGAGGTAAACAGCGTACGTTGTCGTAAGCGGCCGTATTTCGACTAGTTTCTGTGTCCGTCCGCTCAGGCCCTCGATTAGCTTTCTCCGCGCCGGCTGTGGTGGTCGACCGCCGTTCGCTCGGCGCTGCGTCACGGTACGGCGGCGCGCCGGAGGCCATGCGTTTCTACTCGCGGCCAATTACGCGTGGAAAGCCACTGTAATCACTCTCACACACTGCTCACAGGCCAGCAGCGTCGTCTGGGCGATGGTGCGAGATGCACCGGTAGAGAACCGCACCGTCAGCGGCCGCGGCTCGCCTCGCTGCGATTCCTCTCTTGTCCATCGCAATCATTGCTGCTCTTCACGGCTTAAAAATACACCTTATTTTACCTATAGTGTAAGTCCTAAGAGGAAACCAGAATCGCGAAGCATTGCTTTCTGAGCACCCGCAGATGCCATACATCAAGTACCGTAAGAATGTTCGTATGTGTATTGAGCATATGCCAACAATGTGCACACTACGCAGTGTTCAAAATGACTGACCAATATCAACACCGTAAAAACTTTCACCATCTCCCCGCGCTCAAACATGGCCAAACAACACAAAACGGCGTGAGACACTTGTAAACCTGAAAGTCGCCGCGGTAAAGGCATCAGGAGACTCTTGCCTGTGAAACACGATACAGAACGACTGGGGCGTCCGCTAAAGCCAGCCCAAGGGACGGACAAGTAACCCGCGCGCCACCACACTCGCTCGAGATCTTCCGCTGTTTTCGCCCAGTGCGATAGTTCGCTTGGGTTTGTTCAGCCGGTCTTTTGAACTCTTCGGTCAGTCGTCTGTCCGCAGTCCTGAGAAATGCCCGTCCGTTCCGATGAAAGTCCAGCCTGCCGCCGCCCGGCTGTGGACGGCTGCCGCCAGGCTGTGGACCTCACACACTGGCACAGCTGCCGTCGGCAGAGCTCCGTTACCCTCGTAACTCAACCACAGACCTCTCCGCTCTACCAAGGACCACTCTTCCATTTCCACAAACCACTTCACTCTACCAGACGGCTCTTCTCTTCGCCACTAACGTTCTTCGTTACTCCCCATGTGGACTATTCTTCTCCCTCCATGGATCGTTTCCTTCACTAACTTCACCGCTCACGTCACATCTCGGTCACCTCTTCTTCAGTTTCATTCTTTCTCAGACATCTCCATTCGAAATTCACCTATTCATTTCATTTCACTTGCATTTCTCCTTCCAAGCGTGTCTTTTCTTTGCCTTCCTTCCCATATCAGTTCATCATATCGTCCGTCAGCGGTCGTTGTCTGCCGTCAGTCCGTCACCGCTCACTCCCCACAACTCCACTCCACTCCTCCCAACTCCAGTCCACTCCAGGGTTCACTGGGCGTCGGGCGCCGGACCGACGGCCACCGCCTGTCCGTCCACGACCATCATGAGCGCGTCCGGATCGTCTGGGTCGCCCAGCTCGTTCATGGCGTCCACGTTGGCCAGCAGCTGCACCTGTGACACCGGACCGGACGGCGGTTACTCAGAGGACGAGTCAGAACTGACTGGGAGACACAGACGTCATGCAGATACACGGGCCAGTCAGAGCTGAGTGGGAGACACAGTGGGGTTCGTGCAGAGGTCATTGCGGATAGGTCACACACGGACCAGTCGGAGGTGAAGGTGAAAGACAGCCCAAGACACAATAATCAAATAAAGTGAAGGCATTGTCTCATATGATAATGAAAAGAACAGCCTGCAAAAGAGTATCTAAAGGACCAATTTTCTCAATCAACTTGCTACTGCAACCAATTAACTTCGATATAATAGCTAACCCATTTTCTAATTGTGGGTTTACCCCAGATAAAAGTCGACTGAAACAGCGCCACCCCAGAACAGGCTCATGCCTACCTGGCCCTGACCCGCTCCGTCCGCCACAGAAGTCACGCTAAGGAACTCTTGGTCCCGCTCACCTGGTCTCCCTGGACGCAGACGAGCACGCGGCGGCCGGTGGCCAGCGCGCGGCGCACCTCCTCTGGGAGGTGCAGCTCGCGGCCATCGTCAGCGTTAATGGTGTCCGGCACATCTCCGTCCTCGCAGCTGAGAGCCAGGACATCCATCATGGGGGTGGCCGCGGCCGGCTGGGGAACCGGCTGCGGCTCCGGTGCCGCGGCCGCCTCCGCCAGTTCGGCCACCTCCAGAGACTCGTACCGGAGCGTCTCTAGTCGGTAATGGCCGTCGGCGCCCCGCCGGTACCTGACGCGCACCGGATGGAAGGAGGGAGGGGAGTTTAAAATGGTGCGGAGGGACACCCCGTGAGTTACAGATCAATGGTGTTAGATCGAAAATCTGTAGTTCGTTCTGGTGGCCACAATAGGTCCTGGACGATGGAGCGAGATTTCTCCTTGGGGTTACTAGTGAAAAAGAATGCGTATCGCACTGGCTTAGGCAGACACGTTACACACGGACAGACAGATCGCGTCTCACGCGGCTGTGAGTGATTTGAAACATCCCACATGGAAATAGGAAACATACATCAAACCGGCGCACTAGTTGCGCATTGGAAATATAGTGCAACATGTGCATTGTGCATTGTGCACCACCGTGCAACAACAGTCATATCCTATTGCCCATTACAGAAACTCAGCAATGCTTATACACAAAGGGATTGCAAAACAAATCGAGAAAAAAAAACAGTGATTACTTGGAGTGTAAAGGTTGACTTTTTCAGACGTGGTTGTTTGTATTTGTTTTTCGTTGCATGCACGCTGCGTCCGGATGGCACCGCCGATCACCGCCGATCAAGATTACTTTACTAATACCGCCGATCGGGTGGCCGGTGGGACGCGTATATAAATAATATGGTGGGGCGCATACATCCTCCCTCCCCCACCCCGTGCGGCTGCAGAGCGCTGGGTACTCACTTGAACCGCGTGTGTCCGTCTGGAACTCTGAGGTTGTGCGCCCTCTTGAAGTGAACCCCTAGGTTTACTGCTGCCAGGTAGCGGGTGTCACACAGGTGGCAGAAGTAGTAGCTGCGAGGCTGTCCACTGTGAATCTTCTGCGGGGGGGAGGGGTAACCGTCAGCCAAGGCGCTGGGGGGGGGGGGGGTAACCGTCAGCCGAAGCGCTAGAGGGGGGGGGGTATCACATACTAGAGGGCGCATAAATTCTGTGGGTCTGTCGGCATTACACGAGCCAATCGACACAATTTTAAGATATAATAAATCGGAAGAGAAAAGATTAAAATTTAGCCCAAAACTCATGTTACAGTATCGTTTGTGCAGTCTACTCACGTCATAATGTCGCTTGTGCAGCCCTGGGCCTACTCAAGTTATGATGCCGCTTGAGCCGGCACCTACTCACAATATAATGAAGCTTGAGCCACCAACTCACGTTAACGTTATAATGTTAAATGTTATAGGGGGTTGGGAGAAGCCAACCACCCTAAGTTTATCTCGTAACCAGGACCAAATTAGGTAACAATTGGTCCCTATTTTTGTTTGGTTTTACTTGACAATTATTTTTCAACAACTTTGTTAATTGGTGAATGGCTTCGTCATTCCAGAACATAATTTAGTTTGCTTTAAAAAACACTTACATTTTTCTGGTCCTAAAAAGGTGAGGGTAAGCCCGCTATGGTTGGTGCCAAGGCCATTTATAATCTACTAGTAGATTGCTGGTCTTCCCCCATGACAATTTTACCAATCACCGTCAATCACCGTGCTATTGTGCGGCTAGCTGATCTTCGCAGGGGTCGTTAGACATTTTGTTTTTTCGAAGACAGTAATTAATCCTACTTTCAAGCATGAAGCAAGGCAGTTGAGTATGCCAATAAATGTAGATGTGTTCGGACAACTGACAAGAGCTTCGGTCATAATAAAAAATTTCGTACGAATAACTATTTAAAAACGCAAGACGATGACTTGTTTAATCTCATCTGTCTGACTCCTATGCGGACAACATTTCATATCAAATGGGATAACCCCGCCACAGCAAGGCGGTTTCACCCGAATTGTCATCCTACAAAGACCACGTGACCATGGCAAACTCCATGCAGCGCCATGCAGCAGGGGCGCCATAGCACATGATGCCGCATTTAATAAAAACCCATTTCTACTTCAATCAAACGCTGGTACAATATGGTATACCACTTCAAAGTTCAAGCATCGCAATTTCTTATAACGGAAGACAAATTTTCCAGTGTGTGCCTATAACTTCCTTCAACTCTTTAGAAGTGTCGTAGCTCCACCTCCTCCCGAGTCGTGCGTATTGTGATGAATAAAAAATGACACCGACTGCATCGCCAACATGGGGTATGGCGATTGGCGGGGTTGACCAAGTGGCGGGGTTACCCCCACTTCCCTAACGTCGCTTGAGCCACCTACTGAGTACTCACGTTATAATGCTTTAGCCTTTAACCCGGTGGCCCCTGGGCCTCCGCGCCACCCACCAGCCGCTGAGGGGGGTATATAGTCCCCCCCCCTTTACTTCTGCGACGCGAAGAGATAGAGAAGCGAAACTTTGCACACATCTTCCTGAATACCTAGCCGAGGTTGTGTTCAAATTTGGTGTCGATCTCATTTGAAATGACGTCACAGTGACGGCAGAAGTCCAATTATAGATTTGCGACTCTCAGTTTCCTTACGATATATCAGCTATATGAGACCGAATATAAATGACCGATTATTGGTCAGAAACAGTAGTTGGAAGTGAACGTTTTAATATGACAGCAGGTACTGTCTAGTTCATTTACAGTTGAGTTTCATGCTCAGCGACATCAGAAACGGTCCATATCGGAACACGACAGAACGTTGTGACGTCACTGTGACGTCATCTTAAGTGTTACAACTACCAAACTTCCCTCAAACATTGCCTAGGTATTCATTTGAAGCTATGCCAAGTTTCACGTTCGTAGCTTATCAGGTTTCGGAGATGTTCCACAAAACGTAAAGGGGTAACTTAATACCCCCCCCCCCCCCCAGCGGCTCGCGGGTTAATGTAGCTTGAGCTACCAACTCACGTTATAATGTTATGTCGTTAAAGCCACCTACTCGCGTTATAATGTTGTTTCAGCCACCTACTCACGTTGTAATGTCGCTTGAGCCGCTCTTCAGTCAAGAACGCGAACCGACAGCCCTCGTGGGGACACGGAAGGCGTTCGTTCCGTTCCCACATGTTGTGGGCCCTGAGATGCACCTCCAGGTCGTTGGACGTCTTACACCTAGCGGTCGGCAGGAAGAGATGGGGGGGGGGGGGGTCAGCCGGGCGACCGAGAGCACTGAGCACGCCATCACGCCGGCGGGACAGCGACCATCGTATGTGTGTGGCAGACAGTATGAACAGCGAGCGAGACACAGCGAGACACTGCGAGACACTGCGAGACACTGCGAGACACAGCGAGACACTGCGAGACACAGCGAGACACTGCGAGACACACTTGACACTGCTCAGCAGAGACCAAGTAACGGCTTCAGACTGAACTACTTAAACACAGATTCACCCATAGACCTCTAGTACACCTCTGTATGATTCAACCTACTGGCAAGCAGTCAGAAAAAAGAAATTGATGAGGCTATCCAAAACAAAGTTATATTCCCTTCCGACAACATAAAGCAATTTCATATCGACTGTCCCCAGTGTGACGAGACTCAAGCCAAGTGCTGACCAACGCTACTGACGCCGTAACCCTGAGCCCACGTCCCGAGGCCAACGCACGTTTGGGAGCACTTTGGACAGGAAAAGTTGCGCTCATCCGTGTGTTTGTAGAGCATGTGCACTCGCAGGGCGTTCATCGACGGCACCGTCATGGTACAGAGCTGGCAGCGGTACTTGTTGATGTGGTAGCGAATATGATCTCGGAGTATGCGCACGGTGGCGAACAGCTTCAGGCAGTGGCTGCACTGGTACCGCAGGTCTGCAAGGGGGGAGATACTGTCAGCTTCAGACACTGAGTGGCTGCATAATGGTATCGCAGCTCTGTTGAGGGGAGATATTGTCAGCTTTAGACAGTGGCTGAATGGTACCACAGCTCTGTGACAGGGAGATACTGTCAGCTTCTTTCCTCTTCCCTCAACTGGCCCAAGCACAGGCAGACAGGTCTAACTACTCCCGAGGCTCCACCAATCCTAAGGCCAGCCGACGCTCGGCCGGTAGAGCTGTCTGCCTCTTAGCCTGTCACGCAGCCCTCTCCCAGCGCCAGCCCTCGACCGCTCACCTTCAAACGACGTCTGCCGCAAGTGGTGGTCCTCAAACTTGGCAGTGTTGGCGAAAACAATGCCGCACGTGGGGCACGCCATTGGCTTTTCGCGCGTGTGCACGCGCATGTGATCCCTGAGCCGGTAGTGGCTGCGGTGTGAGGCGGTACAGTCTGGAAATAGAGCGGGGATACGCGCAGTTGATACACAGAGCAATGCCTGTAGTGTTCGCAATGATGTACGGACGGATCTCAGACGCTCAGACATACCTCAGCCGTACGATCGGAAACACTGCACACGGCCGGTGCATCAAACACCAGCCGCATAGAAAAAGGTGCGGAGCCAACCGTATCTTTAGTTTTGTTGGTACGTCATTAGTACTTTATCAGGTATTATGCGTCAAAGTCGCCAAGCTCTGTGCGACGCCTATAACTCAACCCGCACCAATTTATCGTTTATTTCAGTTGCAATTCGCGATTGTGTAATGGCAATGCATTCAATGTCTCGAACTAGTTATTTATCGGGGACAATATCGATCTGAACAGTCACTGCTGATGGCTGGCGATTCTCCATCTCACAGTGCTTACAGCAATATCAGCGGCACCACGAGCGACCACTCACCAAGCCAGAGGCACTTGGCCGGCCGGCTGCCATCCAGCTTCTCGCCCTGGTAGTGGCACTTGACGTGGTACGTCACGTGCCAGAAGAAAGTCTGCGGGTCGTCAAACTCGGCCGTGCAGTCCTGCCAGTAGCAGCTGCGAACAGCGGGCGCCCGCGAGGTCAGTCACGGAGCGCCACTTCACACAGTTTACCAGCCGGCACAGCGCACCGCACGAAGAGCGCCGCACACTCCGTCGGCGCGCGAGCATTTTATTTTGTCTCAATCATTTTTTAATTAATTATTTTTATTTTTCTCAATTTATTTTGTCTCAATTATGAATGGATGGATGAGTGGTTTTCGGTTCAGGTGCCACGTTAAGCAGCGTTCTTGCGCATGGCACCACGGATCGACCACTCGACTTTGGCCCGCGCCTAAATCATGGACCACCATCATGCTCAGAAGCCAGTTATCAAGCCAGGACGGCCCACATAGAACACACGTGGAGAAGCTGATCGCCGTGCCGCCCTCCCATCCCCACGAGCCCACGGCTGACGACACTCACACGAATGGATCCGGCAGGTCGGGCAGCAAGTGTCGCTCGCTACTATCCAGCGTGCAGCGGCGGATGCCTGACCGCTTCAGTATCTCAGCGCCGAAGGCCATTAGCCGACAGTGGTACGCATGGTAGAGCACGTGCCGCCGGATCATACGCTCGTCCAGCACTCGGAACGTGCAGTCGGCCCAGCGACAGCGCTCGTACGTGTTGCCAGGATCTGCGGCGGTGATTGGCGGTCAGTGATCAGCAGCTAGCGGTCAAGTGGTAAATGGCTGGCGGCCGGTACTCAGTGATCAGTCGCGGTCGATTAGATATCGGCGATGAACAGCTAGCGGCGGTCAGTGGACTGGTCCGTGGTCATTGGCCGGTGTCGGTGATACCACTCCAGGAATACAAGGTATCGACTATCGTCTACTTGATCAAAAAAATTCACTTGTCAAAAGCCACTGGTAACTATTTAAGAGAGCTAAAATTGATCAACGATGTTGGGGCGGTGGAAGCACTCGTTCACGACTGAGAGTGCTCGACTTACCAGGGCTAATGGGGACGTGTTTATCCACGTGTTTGATGAACTTCTCCATTGATTTAGTGGTGTAGTCGCAGCCGAGCCACTCGCAATTCAGCACAGGAATGATCCCCCTCAAACTGGCAAATACGGCATCCCAGTCAGTGAGGGAAAGACTAGCATGACGCGTCAACGTTGGTGAGGGCTGTCGCTTTTGAATGAATAACGTTTCTGTCATATTACTGGCGATCATGCACCATACAGGACAGTCAAAAATTGGTGAGCAGAAATAAAAACCTTGCAGTGGGAAGCAGTGGGAAGCAGACCAAATGCACTAAACCCGTGCCCGCATGGGTGTCTTAGCCAACTTCGCCATGATGGGGAAGCCGGGTTGGCCGCATCCAATCAACTCGAAAACTAATAACGATAGAAAGGCGTAGAAAAGGCGATCGATGTGTTTCCCCCCCCCCCCAAAATACTTGCAAAGGTATTCAGGTGACCTATGCTTGCCCTCTGATTTGATCCAACGTTAATAATTCCGTCCAAACTCCAGAGCAAAAACCCGTCCGAATTGAGCTATGCGCTGCAGTTTTGCCAGTACACACCTAAACAGCTACTGAGCCCACCACCTCCATCCTCACGGCGAATAACACCGTACGCGGTCTGTCCGACAGTGCCACCTACTCTCTGCGTTGGTGCGGATCTTTCTTGTCCGGCCGGGAGTCTGGCTCCATCTCTTCTGGGGGTGAGTCTGATGACGCCCCGGTAGCAGTCGATGGTGCGCCGCCACCGCCGGCGGCCTCGTCTGCAGCTTTCTCGGCTTCTCTCGCCCGCTTCAGTGCCCGCCTCGTGAACGGCATCTCAGCAGCAGATGGACCGAGGACCGGTATCCTCAGTCAAAGGCTCTTGAGAAATGTTCTGAAAACAGGGTAATCCCAACCAGGGGTAATTATAGCCACCACAGCCGGGGCCCGGGGGAGTGGGGTTTTCACCTCCCCCATCCCATCTAACTCCATAAATAAGGGAGCTACAAAACAAAAAAGGCAGCAAACGAAAGGTTTTCACAACGTGATTCCAAAGCACTCAAAATGGTTACCTTAGGTTACTTTGTAAGTAAGGTCAGGGGTCAAGTCCAAAGAAAAAACCATCATAAGCGTAGTTATCTCTCAAACCAAGTGTTCCAGAGGACGGTGGTATGCATGTAATGCAACACTAACAGGCCAGAAAGGATGGGAATGGGAAATGAAAGAGCAGAATCTGAGGAACCTAATGAAGTGTTCAAACTTCATGATCAAGGCCAAGATCAAGCTCAAAGTTGACCTCAAACTTTGTACTTTTTCATATGCCATTGCCTTGTACACTTAATTCCAAAATGTTTGGAAATAGGTTGAAGCTCGAGCCCCTCGCTCTGTTCGCCCCCCCCCCCCCATTTATTTATCAGCAGGCTGTGAGCATGCTGCTACTTATTGACTCCTCATTGGTCGAATTCAAGTGGTCTATTCGTTAGACCAATGAGAGGCCAAGAAGCGCCAGCAATTACTTCCTTATATGGGGAAAACCGACAGCACGCTGATATAAAAACAGAGACCGAACGGCGAACAGGGACCCGATTTGTGGTTCACGATGCTACCCTGTCTCCCAAGGTCAAGACTCAAGATGCAAGGGTATCCTTTGTCTTCATCTCTAAAACTTCATCTTTTGCAGCTATTTGAAGTTGATGTTTACAAAGTCAAACTTTTTTATATAAATATAGCTCGAATGTTTGAATGGACGGATTGACAGAGCCGGAGCCCACGCTAAGCAGAGCTTGTTGCGTAGACCCCGACCCCTACCGTCCGATCGCGCAATTCCGGGTAACGGGAGAATTTATATGCCAAAGTTTAACGTGCCCTTCAAAGCCGGACACGGCCTGTCCCACTCAACTGACTTCAACTGGCTGCGGCTGCTCCCACCAACCGCAGACCATCCCAGTATAAAGTGTCAACTATCGAGCGCCGGAGCGTCTCGAACCCGGGCTCTGACTACCGAGAGTCCGATGCTCTACCAAGTACCAACCAACTGAGCTACGGGACAGGCTTAACTTTGCCATGTAAGGTTCTAGAATGAATCTACCGTGAAGTGTGACATCAAGGGGGCTAGGTCAAACTTCTGAAATCCTCTAATTTCAAAATTTCTTTGTACATTTGTGCACCTAAATTTCTATGCACATAGTTACACTGAACACTGCGCCAAAATTTGGGTGCAGTCCGCCAGTTACACCGGACATGTCGCGGTAACATCAGTTGGGGAAACTACGAGGAGCCAAACAAAAATTGGATCAGCCAATCAACGGCTGGATTGGGCAGGGCGATGACCGTATATAGTCATAAAATCAGACTTCATCTTTTCCATGCATCCTAGCATTCAAATGAAAAAAAATAAGGCATAAGAATGTTTTTTAACCACACGGCCTCACTCACTCGGTGCACAATGGACTGGCGGCTCTAAATCGCAGAGTTACAATACAACACAATACAAGGTCAAACCAGACTGGAAAACATCCATACACTACGCCGGACGCCCGTGAGACCCGCTTGCGCCGAAAGTCGGCGCAAGCGATTTTGCGCTGAAATTTATGCGTGATTTGCGCCCAAAATTAGGTGACTATTTGTGCGAAAATTAAGCCCTTTTCATAAAAAGCACGTGTGCACATCTACTGATCAAGGCTATATCAACCAGACAGTGTTTCGGGGCCTTGTATGCTCTCCCATGTTTGAGCGTCCGAATGAGTTTTTATTTCCACGTAAACCCAATACCTCGGCGGGAGCCAGCGACTGCGAGGGCCAGACAGCGGAGCAGCACGTGCTCCGGCACATCACCCTTTTCTCAGCTCATGGTGCAGAGCGCCACTGGGCACCGCTCGTCTGGGCACTGCTGGCACGCGGCGAAGTGGAGACAGCTGATTCGGTGCCGTACTGGAGCGAGCGACCCCAGTGGCCCGCCCTCATTTGGTGCACCGAAATGGCATCCTCTCGGTCCTCGCCGGGGATAGGGAGCGGCGGCGTGCTCCCGAGGAGTGGCTTGAATAGTGATTCTGAGCAGTTGTCGCGCCACTATAGTGATGCGAGGCCGCACAATGAACCGCCCTTGTCAGCGATCGGGCGTTTGAGGGCAGGGCAGCCGCCTGTTTTGCCAGGTCGTCCGCGCTCTCATTCCCCTCGATACTGCAGTGGTCAGGAACCCACTGCTATTGCTTAACGACGCTTGGCGACGTTCAACAAGGTTTTCCATACCTATCTCTACACCGAAGGTTGAGGCCTAACCTGGACCGTGGGCGGCCGTTCCTCCGCTGAGTAGACTCAGGGCGGCTCGCCAGTTCGAGCACACAACAACCGGGGTGGGGACGTCTCGTCCCGCAACCTCACCAGAGCCGCCTGCAAGGCGAATCTGCTGCTAGATTGACCAGCGCAACGCATAAATTCGGTGACCGTCTTTCACCAAAAAATGTGCGACCGCCCTGCGCCGAAAAATTTGTCCGCCGCCATACGCCGAATTCAACGCATGCGAAGCTACACCAGACAAGCGCTGAAATTTTCAGCGCAATCCCACCACAACGCCGGATATATTCGGCATAACGTGCATTTTTTCCAATCTGGAGGTCAGTGATTGGCAAATATGGCGGATTGAAACAGATACACCAAAAAATGTAAGCAGCACATGTTTACATAGGGGTTGTTGCAAGCTTATAGCTCTGCCCATTGTTGCAAAAGATGTGAATGATGCTTTACAATTTACAAAATGATCCCCTTTAAATATGCAAAGATTACTGCATCGAAATTACCGCAAAATAAATGAGCCAAAGCCTCGTCAAAAATGCTAACGAGACTTGTTTTTTCCAGCCTGGGTTTCAGCCATGGCTATATAAACCTGGGTTTGAGCCAAGGGTTTGAGTTACTTTGTTGTATTCAGCTTGAGCTATACTTCCGTTGCTTGGTCAAGCCACTTGCATAGTAGCACTTCACTATTACGTCAACATTTTATGACATACCTACCAATTTAATATCACATTTGCAACTCGTACAATCCAACGTCGTTGCGAATGATAGGTAACGAGAACTTTTTTTGTTTTTGTGCACAAAGCTACAATACAAATGGCTAGAAATTTTCGCGCGAATCGGAAATGGTAACAAATGCGCAATAACCGTCTCAATCATGAGCTTAAAAAGCTGCAACTTCACAGTTTGTCATTTGGGGCAAATTAGGACAAAAAATCAAAACAAATAGCTCGAGTATGACTCAATGACAGGCACCGCGCAACAAACTATTACGTCAGCTTTGCCAAGGGATGACAAGCATGAACCTCAATATTGTAATCGCTTTCATGCCTGTCAATCGGATGCCCTCGGCGCTACAGCACTGCCGTCCAACAAGCATCAGTAGCGAGGCCGACGACGTTCAAAATTATACCCGGGGTCTTTTATTACGTGCGCTAGTTTAAGGCAAGCGCAGTTTTGAGGAAGAAACGGTGATTTCAAACGCAAAATATTACCAAAAATATGCAAAATGGCAAACAAATCGCACAAATATGAAACTGGTCTGAGTGGTCACAGTCATAATGCCATTGGCCATAAATATTCACACTTCACAATTATTAACACAAGGCATTATTAACTCACAATTCGATACCAACAGACCTAATCACTCACACCGTACCCAACCACACGGGGGCAGTATATCGTCACATCACTGTTCGCGGCACAGCTGGGCCAGCCGGTCGGGCAGCTCGCTCTCAGTCAGCAGCTGACTGCCGTCGGCAGTGATGAGCTCAGCGCGCGGCCGGCCCGGTCCGCTGCCGCCCTCAGCCGCCGCCCGTCCAAACACCAGCACCGCGCGGTGGCCCGAGCGGCGCGACTCGCGCACCCGCTGGCCGATCGTCAGGTGGTCTCGGTCGTCCCAGAGCAGGTCGTCACGCAGTTCTGGCAGCTGGGAGAGCTGGGAGAGCATTTGCAGCGCCCAGGTACGGGCCGCCTCCTCCCGGCTGCCCGCCTGCGGAGAAAGATCGTGGCAATAAGACACGTCAGAGTTGGGAGTTGCCCATGAACAAAGCAGATTTAAACGACGAAGCAGCGCAGGTGGAGGTCAGTCGGCCTCGGGAGCTTTCCCATTTGTCACATGCAGACCGTGGAGAGGGAGCTCATGTCATCAGCACGTGAGAATCTGGAGACATTACTGCTATCATAGGACGTAAAAAACGAAACCAATTAGATACGTGACCAGCCCGTCCCCGTCCCTTACTTTTGGTGTGATGACACAGAGTGTGAAGGGCGCCAGGGCGGCCGGCCAGCTGATGGGCTGTCCCGGCTGGGCGCGTGACTCCACTACGGCCGCCAGCAGTCGGGTGAGGCCGATCCCGTAACAGCCCATGTGTAGCGGTACCCGACCGTCGGAGTCGGTCACCGTGAACGCTCCCAGTGTCTCGGAGTAGAGCTGGCCAAGTACAAACGTGTGGCCCACCTGGGGTACATACATCCGGAACACGGTAAAAGAACGGGTCATCACTGATACATAACTTAGGGGCAGCACGAATGCAAAGCGAGCGTCAGAGCACAGAGACAGAACGGGTCGAACGTGTCGAACGGATACTCGGCTAGATGGGCAAACATATTAACAGACTCGACGGTCAGACTGAATGGTATTTTGCTCCAGGCTTTTGAGCCGCAGTCATCGAGGCTCGAGCGTCTAGCCCCGCTCCCTTCCCCGTGACATCCGGCAGACCTCACCTCGATACCTGTCCGCTCCTGCAGCGGGTGTCCGCACGCCTGACATGTATCCATCCCGGCCTCGCCCGGTGCCGTCTCCCGCTCCGGCCTCACAACCTCCAGGTTGACGGCGGCCGGACACTCATCCTGCCGGCAGTCGGGTCGCACCAGCAGCCGGTCCTCGCCGACGGGAGCCAGCACGTGGTACTCGTGCGACACACCGCCGCCCATTACACCCGAGTCGCCGCGCACTGCCGAGAGGGGCAGCGGTTATACGGGGCAGGGAGGTATAGCCTGTCGACATCACACAGCCCACAGGCACAGGCAGCACGTCATGGCTTTGGGCATAGTACTCTATGGATTCAGAACAGGACATGGTAAGAACACGGCACGGGATGCACACGGAAGGGCTAAGGAATTGCATGGCGAAGGCACAGATCGAATATATGTCATACGGACACATTAGAACCAACTCACACGATAGCATGAACCGTGTAAGTGTTCTAGAACGCAGATATTCTCGGCTCCAGCTATGACCGCTAAAATGAGCGTAAAAATAGCGAGCAAGAGCGGATCACCCGCGATTCAAGCCCGCGCTGTGGTGCGAGCTGTAGAGTATAGTGTGTCTCGCCCGTCCCTGGTCACAGACCTTGGCCTTGTCCAATTGCCCCCAGCGTGACTCACCTCTGACCACGGGCACGCCAAGTCGTTTGAAGAGACCCGAGTAGGCGCGCCCCACGGCCCGGTACGTGTCCATGGCGGCCGCCTCGGAGGAGTCGAACGTGTACAGGTCCTTCATCAGAAACTCCTTACACCTGGCCACGCGGCAGCAGGGTCGGACACGGTCAGTGGAGACGAAGGTATCGCGTATGCCGTCTCCAGCCTGGTTAGTCTCCCTAGACATCACCAGGCTGTTCCAACATACCCAATATATTCGGTAAACAGCTTATTCACATCAGATAGACTGAACCTTCATGGGCTACCGTGAACGTTATTTGCCGAATAATTCCCCATCTGGAGCCGCAGTGCGCCATGACTCACTGACCTCAGGAGGCCGAAGCGGGGCCGCATCTCGTCCCTGAACTTGGCTGTGATCTGGTAGAGGCGCAGGGGTAACTGACGGCCGGAGATGGGCGACACGGAACCAACCAGAGCCGTCACCGCCTCCTCGTGTGTCTGCAGAGGACGCATAGTCAGTCAGCGTGTAAGGGGACGACAAACAACAAGTTACTGGTGCAGGCTCAGAACTGACGCAGTGACGCCCACACCGGTTACATACTCAATAACCGATAAAGCAAGAAGACTCAAATTCCGAGCTGTTGAGGGCTGAGGCATATTAATTTGCCCATGCCCGTCGTTAGAGGCAACCTGTCATAAGATCTCATAACGCCGTTAGAACATGCCCCTCGTAAGCTTGCGAAAAATCGCATTCAAACCCAATGAGGCCCGATAATTGATTCAATTAAGTACTCAAGTTGCCCTCGTCTTGTCCTTGTTCAATTGAACGGTAGACACTCAGATGAATGATGGTTCTTTTGGTTGTAAGTGAACGGGTACAGTACCGGACTGAGAACGAACCCGTGGCCGGCACGGTCCTCCACCGTCATCAGTTCGCCGCCCATTTTATCCATTCTACCTGAAAACAAGCGAAGGGTGCGTCACAGGCTAGTGCAGCTATCGGAACTTACCATATACGTCACCTGAATATCGTACTCTTACCTACGTACTGATATGAGGATTACGACAAAATTTCAACCTTTCATTGTTATACTGCAGGATTATTTTAAGACTTTTTCGGAAAAAAATAACAAAGTATAAATTTGCTAGCATGGCAAGAACATTATACGGTAAACAGTGGTGTAGAATGCATACCGGTCTGCTTCCAGAGAGTATCTCGGACGAGCGTGGGCAATGTCAGCTGGCAGGCGTCCACCGAGGCCATTTGCTGGCGCACAACACGTGTCAGTTTGTCAAGAACACGCTGGCAGAGTGGCAGGATGTGAAATACGCCGCCCGATGACTGCCGGATGTAGCCAGCAGTGCTCAGCAGCTGCAAGAAGGGATAGTGAGTCAGATGTTTGTTTGTATGAAAATAAAAGCAATGCACATAAATGACACCCCAAATATACCTACATTGATATGTTAGAAGAGCTTTTGGGATTAAAAAATGTGAAATTAGAGGGGAAAATTTTCCAGACTAAGACCACGTACTTCAAAGCCCTTGGAGACACCATCACCATCTTTCACAGAAGGCTGTTTGGCTGCATGGATGGGCTGGAAAAAGCGACTCATCCTCTGACAAAACACATGTTCATGTAGCTCTCTCTTTGCAACAACAAAGGGTGTTGGCAGCCTTCTATGAATAGCTCGATGTGTGACAAAATACATGTTTATTTATATTGCAACTTCCAGGATTATTTGCAAGAAGCACATTTGTCTTGAACTGGAAAAGTTAATAGGTATCTGAAAAATAAAAAGAATATTATTTGTAAACCAATCACCATATGTAAGTTTTATCAGTTATATGTAGCATAAAAGAGCAAGAAAAAAGATAATGAGTTTAGCTTGATAAATTATGCAGCAAGGTTTGGTTGCAGGTTTCAACTCATGTTGATATTGGTTACCTACCAGAGTCCAGACAAGTGCATGGATCTGTGTGATGGATCTAATCTATGATCCCAGATTATATCAAGGCAAATGACAAGCTAGGATCTATGATCACATTGGATAATGGATACCACATAAATATATCCTGGATCTAAAATTTCACCTGAGCTGATGACAAACCATGAACAGGGATCTATGATCCAAGTGGATCCAACCAAATGTAAACTGTACAACCATGTTTCCTGTGACTTGTGAGTTCAAGTCCATAAGTGCAGAAAACTATGCATTGTGATGGATAATCACATGATATCCATGAAACAGAACCATTGCAAATTTGATTCTCAAATACAGATACCTCTGTTGCAAAAGTGGGCAAGGTCGACCCATGATCTCACTGAATCTCTAGGCATAAAATAACTGAATATATGATCCTGATGGAAAAATTAAGTGCAAAAAAAGATTCTAGAACAAAAAATAGAATAGAACAAAAATTAAGTGCATAATTCAGTCCCACGCACAAGGGGGAAAAGCTCAAAAAATTGAGCGCTCAAAAAATTGAGCGGGCCCCATTATGAAGGAATAGGCGAAACGATGGTATTTTACAATGCCGTTAGCGTCACACTACGGCAAATATCGTATCCAAATAAGGTATCAATGGCAAGAGAGAGCAACAAGGTTTCTTCTCTAACACTCGCCGTGATAATTCATATCGGTGTTTTTGGAAAGAAAATGCCCTAAAGACGCTCAACTTTTTGAGCGCCACTTGTCGTTCGGGACCGCGATACTCAATAAATTGAGCGCCACGACAGACGACAGTCAGCTGGCGCTCAAAAAATTGAGTGCCGGCCAGCATCTATACTCAATTTTTTGAGCGTTCTCCGTGACAGGTGAAGCCGGTACTGGCTGCCATTTTTGATGTTATGTTCGTTGAAATACGTTAAACTGAGTTGAAACAGAAATGCAGTAAGTTGAATGCTACGTGGTACCTAAACTTTTCACAAACCCATGGCATCATGTCACATTTTCCGCTAGTAGTTTTATCGGTCGCCTTTCGGATTCGGCACACCTCAAATAATTATACCGGGCTTGAATAATCCGTATGAATACTGTATTGATATTCTCTGACTGTACTGGGAGAAGGGAATACGTGAATACAGAAAGATATCCACCCACGCTTGAATATTGGAGAATTATAGCAGGAAAAACTGTATTGCCACGGTTACAACTTACAAGGCTATTGGCCGCAAACAAACAAAAATACTATACAATGTGGGTTAGATTCACAAACATCATCAAGTGTGGAACACAGAGACGAGCAAAACAACATCACATTATCGCATGCCAGCCCGACCACATTGGAACCGGGTGACCTGCGACCGGAACCTGCGTCTTGCCAGCATACATCACAAAAGCAGGAGGCAGTGTCGTACTGCTTTGATATAAACGACCTAAGCTCGGACTAAGCTAATCATTAGGTATCAAATCCTTAACATGTAAAGGACGAATGGAAACATCGAGTCTCAGACCAGCAGTAGCAACCATCACAGTAGCAACATCTCAAAGAACACGCGGCATTTTCAGACAGCCGTTTTGTTATCGGGCTACAGGCGGCGACGGCGTGGTTGCAGACCAGCTGCGGCGAGGTAGCGGCGTGCGGGCAAAAGGCGCGGGCACACCTCCATGTGGCCGTGCGGACAGTGCGCGGTCGGCGTCGCATAGTGGGCGGCATCGGGCTGTCCCGGGGCCGTCGAAGCCGCACAGGTTGTCGGCGCATGTGGGCGCGCGCGGTCACCACGGCCAGCTGCTCACCGCCAGCACAGACTGCGCAGCGTCGCCGCTCCGCCGGCCAGAACACGCAGACAACCCTTCTTGCAGTCACACAACACGTCGCCAAACTCATTCACCTGCTCCACCATGTTGTTGATGTCACCTAGTCGTTCAAGTTGTGGCTCGTGCCGTCGAGCATGACCTGCCCGATCGGACACGGGTCAGCGGCTTCTGCTCCAGCGAAGTCTTCATCTTGGTGACGTCTTGCTGATCTCCACAAAGGCTGAGCAGATGATCTTACCCACAGGGACGGCCGACGTCCTCGCCAGCGACCGCTTGGTTGTGCAGACCTGCCAGAAAAAGAAAAGCTGTTTGGTGATCTCAAACGATTTTTTTCTTTATGCAGTGGAACAAAATGAAAAATATGTCATACAACAGGAACTAAAAAAAGATGCAGCCTAGGTCGTCTAAGAAATGGGTGCAACATTGATAAAATTCTTCATTGAATGAATTCTGCAAATACTTTTGATAAAATGTGTGGTGATTATAAGGAGACCACTTTACTATAAAATTCCTCAGGATTCCCTATCTGGACCTGTCAAAAAATCCTGACTGCACACCAACAATGAGCATTAACTCCGAAACCTCTACCAGGTACCTAGGGATAATTAAATTCTGATTCAGAAAATATTTCACATCATACAAATAAAAAACCTGTACTATATTGAAACTGAAAATGTGATGCCGATCCAGTGACCTAAGGGTCCCAAAGTATAATAATGAATTAATCTATTATAAATTTGGTGGTGACTGCCGACTGGCGTCTGGTGGCCTAGACCTTCAGGCTTAAAAGTGGCCTTCCTTTTCCGTTGACTTCGATCCTCCAGATGGAAATGATATAAAGGATCATTTTTATCTTATTTAATATGAGCCAGTCAGCAAAGTGGCTATCCTGTTTCAGCATTCACACACACAATAGTTGACTGTCAGTCTGTCATGCTGTCAGTGTTGTGAAGTAACGAAGGAGTTGAGTTTTGTTGATTATAAATTGTGATGTTATGTAAAGGACTGGAAAATGAATGTGAAAACTATGGAAACATATTGGCAGAGTATTGTCACTTACTATCAGGACATATGGATAGAGAATACACTCAAATAAATAAGAAATGCCAAATATCAAGGTATTCTATCACTGATAGCAGTGGACTATCATATGTTTTAATGTCAATTATATGAAAGTTAAGACTGAAACTACCTTTTACCTCATCATACCTAATGAAAAATTGTGTGAAGAAAACATTCACAGCCTCTTTGAAGCACTTAGACCACTATAAAACAAAAATTTTCACGTAAATATGTTGTGTCTCCTTCCTTCAAAACATCATATCGGATGGCGCCACTTTCGTCGACAGTTACTTATCTGCACGCAAATCGAGGAAAACGTGAATTGATTGACGTTTACGTGTTTCCAAATTTAAAATCACAGCATATTCAAACTTTTCAAGGTACCTTTTAACATCTAAGTATAACTAAAACGATAAAAACTTACCTTCAACACAAGGACGACGACAACCACGCGACCGGAGACGTCGCGACGAAATAAACAAACGGCGCCGCCAAATGAAAAATATTCTCCGATATGGGTAATGTGAAACTGAGTCGCAATCATTTTGGGTAGTATGAAAAATGCTCTTTCCAACAGAACCCTAGTAAAAAACGTGAATGGACAAAAAATAACTTTTATTTCGACATAAATATTGGCCTGTTTTTAGGTCATCCTGGTATGCCGTAAGATTTCGACCTATAAATTGGTGTTCCCCCAATCATTGAAGCTTGAGCAGTGAAAAATATGAAAGCCTAATCTGTTTTGCATCATTAGTGATTCTCCTAGGGTGTTGCCATTTCTCCCTAGGTGTTGCGAGTTGCTTTTGCAAAACGTGTTCCTGAAACGGCTCAATTTTTTGAGCCCTCAGCATTACGCCTATGGGAGCCTCTGACGTCACACGCTCAATATTTTGAGCGCTCAATAATTTGAGCTTTTCCCCCTTGTGCGTGGGACTGAATTGTAATTTTGCCTGGACAGAAACATTCAAAGTAAATAAAATTGGAGTGAACTAAATTACGTTTATCAAACTTTCATAATTTATGCAAATATTTGACCTGGAATAGCCCAAAAAGCTTGCACTCCAGCTTGCTATGGCTAGCGCCACCTCACAGCTCTGCAGGGAAATGTTTGAGATTATAGATGTCGCACCAGCGTAGAACACCTCTCGCTGAAGTAGGCGTCTAATCGGTCTATATAAATCTATCTATTCCTACCTATAACTCAGTATATAGGTAGGTACTATGTAGTGGAGAGATATCTTATTTTTAGAAACGTTGGGAGAGGCGAGATTCTGTGGCTGATTGAACTGAGCTTGGAACTGAGCAGCGCCAGCGCAGCTAGAAGAACCTACCTAATAACGCTGGAAGTCGGCATTATCACTCGTCACTCGGCTCATCGCTGACATTCTGAAACCGGAACCGAGTTTTATCCTTCGCGTTCGCCCTGGTGGTGGGGGCATTTTTCAGCCGCACTCTTCAGTTTTTTTTTTTGCGTGTAGAGAGAAAATCACAGCGCACAGCGCTGCGAAGCCTGGTATTGCACCTGTAGCTTGTCATAAATTATATTTGAATAGAGCGTAAAAGTTGGATCCCAAGGTCACCAAAAATTAGGTAACCCTCGCCGGCAGTCGATGCACCCCCCCCCCCCCTCCCTAAGATTTTAGGCGAATAGCTCACGTAAAAAGCGGGCAATCGCGACGAAAGTTCCAGTGCCCTCTCATTGATAAATTTTACACCTACCCTGAAAATTTTATGACCCTGACCCAAATGACCTTTGACCTGTGACGTACTTTCCGAGACCATGTTTGGCCGGAATCGCGATTCGGCGTGCCTATGTCAGCACTCAGCTCGCATTAGCCGCGCGTTTGCAAGCTTTCCGTGGTTTCAAACGTTCAAACATACCTATGATTTGATGCTGCTCCCATGCATAAGGGTGGATGTCAAGGTCACCTGAAGGTCAGGCCAGGTCGTTGACCTTTGGTGACCTCGGTTTACTTTTTCAAGTTT